ATCAACGCCAAACCCCTCATATTCTGCCTTGGTGGTAAGTACTTTTACTTAATTATTTTAAATTATAATATTCAGGAATTTTAATATTTAATTAAATTAATGACTAATATAAAAAAAACATCTTCACAGGAACCAGAACTTTGCTAAATCTAAGGAACAGATGGTCCAGATGCTCCCGGAGTCCTTTCACCTGGCTCCGGCCCTGCTGCTGCTGACCTGCATGTGTGCGGTTCCGCTGCGAGGCCAGAAGCCGGACCAGGTGGACCCCCTGACGGTCCACCGGGCGGACCCGCAGTGCTGGGACTCCTCCTCGGCTCTGCTGCTAGAGATGCGCTCTCCGAGGATAGCCGACACCGTTCCCGCCTTCTGGGACCTGATGGTGACCCTCAAGTCCTCAGAGAACGGGAAACACGCGGCGCTCTACTGGGACCTGGCTCGGATATTCTGGGACATCTATCTGGACTGCGTCCTGTCCCGGAGTCACGGCCTGGGACGGAGACAGACAACCTCAGTTCACTCTCTGATTACTGACAGTAAGTACCCAAACGCACATTTTATTTAGTTTCTAGTTAGAAACAATTAATGGATTCAAGGAAATAAAAGCAAGATGTGTTTTAATCATCACCGAATGCAGTCCGGTGTCAATTTTCTGCACCTTAAATGCATTTATTGCTTAGTCAAATGCAGGTTCTGCAGAAAATTGAAACAAACCTTCTAAAGCATGCAGGAAAAGTCTATGAGGTTTGGATTTGGTGAACAGTGATGAAATATTTTAAATAATTAGGAAGTATTTGCAGGTGTATATGAGGTGCCATTTGTAAAGTCAGTCACAATTTAACAGCAACGTTTGGGGTTATTTAGCCTATCATGAGAGAAAAAAATGAGTTCATATTTCAAAGTCATATTTTCACTTAGTTATACATACATTTATGATAAAAATCCCAACTAAATATTTAGTAAGCTAAATATTTTATTTGAAGTCAAATAAATATTTTATAAATACAATATTGTGGTCCGACCTAAATATGTAGTTTGTAAAATAAATATTTTGAGGTAAATATTTTAAAAAGTAAATTCTTAGGTTGAACCAAAAATATTTAATTTGTAAAATACATGTTTAATTTACCAACTAAATAAGTAGAAGCTAAAAATTTAGTTGACGAAGTAGATATTTAACAATAAATAAATATTTAGTTTCTAAAATATATATTTAGATCCCAGTTGAATATTTATTTTGGCAATATACCTAAATATTGCATTTGCAAACATGTTTAGCTCCAAAATAAATATTTTGATGTGATCTAAATATTTTGGGAACTAAATATTTAATTTGGAGCTAAATATTTTGCTTGTGTGATGGGACAGACAGATCTTGTCCCATCCCAGTATCACATTAGATTGATTGCAGGGCAGGCAGGGTGAGCCATCTAATTGTCATGTTGAGAATGGAGTGGAGATGAAGGACCATGTGTGGTGGAGAGTTCAGGAGGCAGGAGAGCAGGCACGGATGAAAAATAAAAATAGTTTTAATGGTGGAACGGGAGCGACAGGAACAAAGCAACAATGACTACAAACAATGATCTGACAAAGACTGGCACAAGGAGGGAGGTATAAATATACAAGGAAATCAGAAACACATGGGCAGGTTAACGAGGGGCAGGTGAGAACAATAAGGGCTAATCAGGGCAGCCCTGGGCAGCAGGACAGAGACACAGTCAGGAAGGCAGGGGCAGAACGTGACAGTACCCCCCCCCCCCCCCCATTAAGGGGCGGATACCAAACGCCCACAAGGCCACATAACACAGGAGACTAGGGAACACCAGAACACTGGACTTGGGAGACTTGACCGGGACATGAACACTTGACTGCAGCAGCCGGGCATGGGACCCAGTAGACTGCTGGAGCAGGCGTGGGACCCAGCAGAGAACTGCAGCAGCAGGCGTGGGACCCAGCAGAGAACTGCAGCAGCAGGCGTGGGACCCAGCAGAGAACTGCAGCAGCAGGCGTGGGACCCAGCAGAGAACTGCAGCAGCAGGCGTGGGACCCAGCAGAGAACTGCAGCAGCAGGCGTGGGACCCAGCAGAGAACTGCAGCAGCAGGCGTGGGACCCAGCAGAGACTGCAGCATGAAGGACCTGCAGGCATAGACCCTGCAGGTGCTGACCAGGAAGCGGGACGAAACAGCATGAGCGACGCGAGGAAACCAGGAGTGGTAGCAGGTACTCGGCAAACAGTCCTGAGCAGGTGCACACCATGACTCGACTGGATCCAACAGGCGGAGGCTCAGGTGAAGGGAAGCCGACACGGAGCAGGAAGACCAGCCCTACCACCCCGGAGAATGTTGGCGTGCGTAGGGTTTTTTACCTCCATCAAAAAACTCCAGGAAAAACAGCTTCCGTGAAAAAACTGGATGGGGCAGAACAGCAGGAGAGGAGAATGGGTTTGACCACCCCGGGAACAAACAGGAAGCGCCGAAACCCCCTCAATGGGTCCGGCCACCCCGGAAACAGGTAGGATGCGCCGAAAAACCCCTCGAGTCAGAATCTCCCTCAGCTGAAAGGGAAAAAAAGAAAAAATAATCCTCCAGAAACAGATGTTAAGCTCACCACAGGTCCAGGTTGGTCTGATCATTCTGTCATGTTGCGGGTGGAGTGGAGATGATGGACCATGTGTGGTGGAGAGTTCAGGAGGCAGGAGAGCAGGCACGGATGAAAAATAAAAATGGTTTTAATGGTGGAACGGGAACGACAGAAACAAACCAACGATGACTACAAACAACAATGATCTGACAAAGACTGGCACAAGGAGGGAGGTATAAATATACAGGGAAATCAGGAACACATGGGCAGGTTAACGAGGGGCAGGTGAGAACAATAAGGGCTAATCAGGGCAGGAGAGAGACACAGTCAGGAAGGCAGGGGCAGAACTGAAAGGCAGCTGCCTGCTATTTCAGCATGACAGCTATGGCACTTCAGGTGCTGGGGTAATGAGAAACTCCAACTGCAAGCTGTGACCCAGGTGATTGCAGAATGGAGCTGTGCGTACGGTTAGAGGGTTAACAGTGCATCCAGGTACTCCTTGTCATCTCCCTGCCCATGCGGATGTGTCAGCTGTATGAAGACTGATCCGATCCAGCGGCGCAACGGCCTGTGGCTGCCCGCACTGGTTGACTTAAGAGCCGCTTTGCCATCCGGCTTTGCCTGCAACACTTCACCGAGATCAGCTGAGCATCTGACATTGTCGGCGGTACACCCTCTGCTGCTCCATCTCGCCGTCCTGCCACGACCAATTCCATCTCCAGAGCCAGTGGTGTGCCCAGAGGGCTGCATCACTGCTGTTTCATCTGTATTGATCTGTTTCCTCTACGTTGGTTTGTTTTAATTAAATGATGGGCGTCGGACGCCTGGTTGCCTTGGCAACCACCAGAACTCCCACAGGGCTAAAAGGACTTATCTTTATTTAGTTTACTGTGTTGGTCATATGTTTTCATTATTCTTTGGTGTGATTTGTGTGTTTAATTTTTGCACGTTTAACATTATTTAGTATCTGTTTGCCCTAGGGCCATGTGGCTACTTCATGTGGACTGACTTGTGCCACTGGACTCTGAGCACTCAACTTAACTTCATTTGTTTTTAGCTTAGATATTTAAAGAATTGTTTTATTGGAAAGACATCTGGGTGGTGTTGTTGCAACCTTTTTAACCTTTAATTTATCTGTTACGACTTCCACTTGCCAAAATATTGCCAAAATATTTTGCTTGTAAGCTAAATATACAGCTCCCAATAAAATATTTAGTAAATAAATTCCATATTTTTCAAACCAAATATTTAGTTGTGAACTTTTACATTTATATAAATGTATGAATAACATGGTAAAAATCTGATTTTGAAAAACAAACTCTCAAATTTTTTCTTATGATGCTCAAAAAAACCCAAAATACTGCTTTTAACCTAAGACTCTTTCATTTTGCAAAGGGCATCCCATCTATAGATGCGTGCCAGAGATTATCCATGCAATTATTTGCAAGAGGAAGAAGTTAACCTGCCTTTGTATTTTCAGACATCCAGGATATTTAGACCTTTTTTTCTCATGATGATGCCTTTGCAAGTCCTCTTTCCTGTAAACGTATGATGTTGCAATAAATTGCTGCTAATGCTTGTTTATTTGTACAATGATACATTAATTCAAAAGTGTTCTCTGTAATTGCAGAACTTAGGGATTTGTAGCATGCAGACCTTTCCAAATATTTGACAAAAAATACAGACTTTCTTCTAAATATGCATGTTAGGATTAAGTGAGATGAAAAAAGTCCTGCAACTGATGTAAATGTTCTAAGAGAAGGATTACAAATCATTATGAGAACCCATAATTGGTCCAGTTTGCATTGCTACGAACAATGTCTTTAAGAAACAAATAACATCTCATCCTGGAAAGGAAAAACGTTTTTCTCAAAAGAAAAATCTACATTTATTTATATTTAGTTTAATTTTTTACTGTTGAATCCTGAATGATACACCTTTCACCTGACTTTTGTCTCTTATAGAGTATTTTAGGTTCAACAGATCAACAGCAAACTCCTGGGCAAATCTCACAGTTAAAGTGAGACGTAGAGGACACTTCACCACCCTGAAGACGGAACCAAAATAAAACAGCCCCAGAAAACTACATTTTATTGTTAATGTCTTATTTTTTTCAATTCGTAATGTTTCATTAATTTAATTCAGCATGTTTCATAATTTGTGCCTTGTTGTTTTTCCTTTATTATCCTTTTGTTTAGACTTTCTTTACATGACCCCATTTTAACTTGAAACTGTATTTCTAGTTGCTTGGTAATTCATGAACATAAATCTATATTGTTGTAAACCTACGGATGTTTATTTGTTGTCTCAACAAACTTCATTTTCGGGTCACAATTGTAGCGCAACATAGTAAACACCATCATACACCATGGTGACGCAGCAGAACGCGCTGGCTACGTCACGCGCTCTTTTACTTTCATTTTCGACTTCCGCCCTTTTTTATACGTGAGACGTAACAGAGTAAACTTTTACCGGTCGTCAATTAAATAACTATTCTAATCAGCTCTGTGGCCTCCAGAGTATCAAGACTATGCTGAGTTGATTCACGACGTCGTAAAAAAGCGAAACGTTCGACATCAACCAGGTACTCCGTTAAGTTTCGTACTTTTATTTTTGTAACACGAGTAGAATGTCGAAAACGCTTCCCGTATCATACAGCTTATACGTGCTTATTCATCTCCATGTTTGACGATTTTCTACTTTTAAACAGAAATTATTCTGGTTTCCGACATTATAGTCAGTCCAGATGTAACTTTTTTAGGTTTTTAGGTGCTGTGTTTCTTGGAAAGCCTACCGGGTGTGTTTTTGTGGACACAGGGACGTCATTTAATATGCCATTACAAAATAAAATAACGTTTATTTCTTGTTTGGATCTATGGGTGACCTTTTTAAATTTTATTTTATGTAAATGCTAATTATTTTCTGAACATGGCCATTAACCGTTGTTCTATAATGTTACAAGCTAATTTAGTGTCTCCTGTAATTTAGTTTTAGTGAAACCTCTCATTCCTTTAGTCGATCTATTTTCAAATTAAAAGCAAAATCAAGCTTATGTGAACATGAGTCACCTGTAAATTCCCCAGGTGTGGCACGTCCTAAAGAAAAAAACATTTCCTCTTTTCAAATGTCACCAGAAAGAAAACAAGTGTACAGGTGAACATGTTCAGATCTGCTGTTATGCTTGGCTTTTGGAAAAAAATATATCATTATTTTGATCCAACTAATGAAACTCAATGATATCTGAAATGGCTAGATAGTGAAGGATAATTTAATTTTAAGTGAAACTTGTATTAAATAAAACACAAACCTCACCCTCTGACTCACGTTAATACGTGCTTTTTATTCAGTTTAGTTTATTCGTGTGAAACAGTTAAAGGCAGACATGGAAGCTAGAAGACTACAAGTACTTAAAAACACAACTACCGTAAATCCTCTAATACAGGCCCGGGCCTGTATTTTACTCAAGCTCATCAAGCTCCAGGTCTTTATTGGAAGGAGGACCAGAATTAGAGGCAGGCCTCAATTTCTATTTGAGCAAAATGAACTAATGGTTCGCTGGAGTTTTTGACAATTAAAATTGCGCCCACATTTTCAAAGTTAAACACGTCTCTTTTAACAACGGTAGTTTCTGCTTAAGCCCTCTCCCCCCTCCCCCTGGGCAGCGGCCGCAAACTCACTGATACGCCTGCAGCCTCTCAGAGTTCCTGCTGCTCTAAACATTAAAATAATTATTTCATTTTCTGTTCCTCACTTCTGATTACCTTCAGTGGTGTCTGTTTGTTGCAACCACCAGGTACAAAAACTAACTTGTTTTTATTTTACTATTTTTCTGTCCTGCCTGTTTATTATCTTCCTGCATCTCCTCTCAATCCTAAAGAAAAACTGCTGCCTGGGTTCATATATATTCACTTTATGAGTTACCTTTGAACTGCAGTTCTACAAGATCTACCGACCACAAAAACAGCGGAGTGCTCGCCGGCCACATCAGTTAGGTGCGTCACCGAGGACAAAACAGGTGATGCGCCCCAATCCACAGCAGCGAAACGCATCAGGCACAAATAAAAGAATAAAAGACAGAATACATAAGAGGAAATGAGCCGACTTGAACCATCGCGTGTTAAATTAGTTTTTGAGGTGGCGACACCTGATTTGATAATGTTACTGTGGCCGTGCTCAGGACGCAGATGTCTGGAGGGCGTCAACAATCAGAGCTTTGCATGCGCAAGCTGGTTAAGGTTAGGATGGGGGTGAGGGGAATGTTAAATTGCAAGAGGGTAAACATCACAATTTGGTTAAATGTCCGTTTTACGGTGGGTGTCAGTACCGACGCTCTGGCACAGCGCGTTGCCTCCTGACGCGTTGCCTCCCGACGCGCAAGAGCTTGTCACCTGCTGACAGCAGGCTGCTGTCTTTTCCGAGGACTGCATCTTGCCGGTCATTATCACGTGACAGCGACTAGTCGATGACGGGCATAAAAAGTCACTATAGAGCAGTGAAGTCGACTAGTGACTAGTTCATACAACCCCTGCTACTGCTCCCCAGAGAGTTCTGCAGCATAATCAGCACGTTCTCTTTGAACTTGATATCAAATTTCCGCCTCCTCTTCGTCTCCGCACGGTTAAAGTTACCCTCGCGGTCTATCACTGGCAAATCAAAAGTGAGACGGATGACACAACCGCCCCCGTACTTGCTTGTTACCATATTCCACCCGGCCACAATAAAATACCGGCCATTATTCACCTCCGCCGACTCCGACACCAGCCAAAATGTGATACCCGGCCGTTAATTGAATACAGGCCAATATTAGAGGATTCACGGTATACAGTATTTACATTGTTTTTAGGAGGGATAGTGGCCTATTTTGCCATTGTATCATCACTCACAAACACCTAAATAATCTTGTATTTTGTTTTAAGCATAGAAAATGGATTTCCACAAGCTGCTGCTGGATGTAGATAATGCTTTGGGGGAGGATGAGTTCAAAGCTTTAGGTTTCCTGTGCGCTGACTTCCTGAGTCGTAACCCAGACTCAGTGAGGTCATTAAAGGAGCTCTTCTCCTCTCTGATGGACAAAGAACTCCTGTCAGAGAAGCAGCCACAGCTTCTGGCTGAACTTCTCCTCACCATCCAAAAGCCTCGTCTGCTGCGAGACATCGGACTCAGTGAACAGGACTGTGCGGCCCCCAGCCTCATCTCCTCTTACAGGTGAGCAGTCTGCATTTTGTTTCTGTTTATTTATTATTATTTTTTTGCATTGGCTAACCTCGGCTTTCCACTGGATGTGCAAGTGGTGCGTAACGTCTCGAAGCGCATGACAGAGCCAGTAGTCACCGTTAAAGTCAGTGGGTGAGTTTCCACCAGACGTGCAGTGGCACGTCTTGCCTAGTGTCACGGCGTTCTGCTAAATTTATTCTTCAGGTCTATTTTTGCACACTACACTCCCAGAGAACGTCAAGCTCAGCAGTTCAGATCAGGCCAGACAGGAAATCAAATATGGGAGCAGTGAAGCGCATCATACAGCTTTCAAAATAAAAGACGCATGCAGAATTCCTGTTGCTTAACTAGTAAAACTAAACACGTTATTCCTTATGAAAATGTCACGGCCGAGGTAGAAACAACAGAAAGTAAACCACAGACCTTTTGGATACATGCTGCCATCTTTTCCTCACTTTGTATTGTGTGAACTGGCGGAATCACGCATGAACTTGCAATTCTTCGGTGATTCTGAGATCACGTGGAGCCAGCTGTGTGGAACGCTCCTGGTGAAAAGGGATGCCCTGCTGAGGACATGGTGAAACTCATCTATTATGTGACACATCCGGTGCAAAGCCGGGGTAAACTGACAAGCAGCAACTGTATTATGTTTGTGATTAATAACCAGTATTATCTGTAATCAGACCGAAAATAAAGAATGTTTGCCCTCGTTTTCAGGAAACTTCTTTATGACCTCTCGGACAACATTACTGACCGCGACCTAGACTCCATGAAGTTCATGTTGAACAATTTAATCCCACGTGGAAAGCTCAAGGAAAAATCGGTGAGTGTGTCTACCTACCTCTTAAACTATTTGTGTTTTTGACAGATTAAGGCATTCATATCTAATTTACTGTCACTTCTCAGACTCCGTTGGATATTATGCTGGAGATGGAGCACTTGGATCTCATCAGTGAATCTAATCTGGATAAATTGGAGGAAATTTTCAATCACATTTGTCCTGCACTGAATAAAAAGATCACACAATATAAAGAAAAGCAGGGTAAGCTTTTTGTAAGGCAAGGTGTAGACCTAAAACAAACATCACATCGATGTTTGTGCTGGGAGAGAACATGGAGAATAAGTACTGAACAATGAGTAAGTGTGAGTCGAACTTGAGTTGGTCTGGTGAAACATTGACCTTTAGTCCGTTTCTAATCACAGCAGGACTTTTTGATGAATGATAATGACCAGCAGCCTCATTTAGAAAATGTGCTAAAGCACAAAACAAAGCCTGAAAACTCTGTAAATCATTTCTCACGCAAACATTGTTATTAAAAAAGAAAACTTGACAGAAACATTTGTGCAACTTTAGACCATTGGACCGGTCCACATTGGGTAAGCGGCCCATCCAGGAATTAAGTGTCTTGCTCAAGGATACGACAATACGAACAGGAAACTCACCAGTTACAGGGTGAATTTCTCCTGAACCTCTGAGTCACCGCTGCCCCACAATTTAAACATCCCACAAATAAAGAACAAGCATAATATTTTCAGCACAGATGACAGAAAAGTTCCTCTCAAGCCGGGCGTACACTGTGCGACTTTTTCACTTTTTTGAGCCGATTTTCCACTCGTGCAAGAATCCACGAGATCGGGGCGAGTTTTGCGCCGCGCGGTCGTGTAGTGTACGGGGGGTTACGAGAGGCGATTAACACCACGTGACCAGCTACCGATCAGCAGTCGTGAGCTCGCACGGACTTCTGGCGTGTTTAATATTTCGCTCGTCCCTCATGAGGGTATCGCACTGTTGAAGCGGCGCTGCGAGCAGCTGCGACCCAAAATGTATCAGAACCGCTCACGGGGCAGGCGCAATCCTGCATCAACACCGCTCGCCCGCTATTTCCCTAATAACACACATTGTTCGTTTTAATTTCTACACGTTTTTTTTTTACTCACAAAGATTGTCAAGAAAGCGTGTTTGTCGTGTTCATGTCAAATTAAACTGATCACAAAACACAGATTTATACATAAATCCCCGTGTGTCCTCCTGCAGCACTCCCGAAGGACAACAGGCAAAACAAGACAAAAAAGTTTGACGTGTTGAGTAAAAACTGCTATTTTTAGCATATTTTTAGGGCCGACGTGTTGCTACCAGACGTACAGTGTGAGTAGTCAGGTCGCATCCGAGAACTGGGTCGTACAGTGTGAGCGCCTGGCTCGTGAGATCTGCCCTGCGAGGAAGTCGTACAGTTTGAGCTGAAGCTGAGTGCTACAAGTGAAAAAGTCGCACAGTGTCCGCCCGGCTTTAGTGAGTGAATTAGATGATTTGTTGCACATTACTTGATTTTTGTGTTTTCTTCTTTTTACAAACCACCGACCGTGCCAACCTCACAGCTCATCGGCTGAGGTCCTTGTCTTTCCCTTCTGAATCTAACCTGGTAATGTTGTTGTGTTGCATTATTTACACTTTGTTACTTTTATTCCTCGAAACTAACTTCTGCTTATTCTGTCGTACCAGATCTCCAAGCCTTTTTTGAGGACCGGCTCGCTTCAAAGTCCAGTTACAATAAAACATGATGTGCTAGAAAGTAAAGCTAATTTGAAAAACAAAACGGTGGTTGTCCCAGAGCCTCCAAGAGCAGCAGAGGTTTGTGATTAATTTATTTTCTATTTAAATATAAAACTTAGAGTTCTGACTACTGAATAATGTTTATTTAGTTTTTGGCTCCAGTTTTACATAAAAATGTGCTGATTTCAGTTCGACTTTAGGAAAACTTGTATCAGATTCACTTTAAACCCTTCTTTTCATTTGATCTGGTTTGTGAATTTATAGGCTTTGGGAAAGTATCAAATGACTGCCGCAAACAGAGGCTTCTGTGCGATTTTCAACAATAACAATTTCTCTAACTCATTGGAGCCTCTCAAAGATCGAGCGGGAACCCATACCGATGAAGGTACGTTTAGGTTTGATTCTTTATAAATGCCTCTAATAACACTTCGTCAGTAGATTCTCTGTTTGCAACACTGCACAGCAATATGTTTGCATGCATTGTCATCAATTTATGTTCCCCCAGATTCACTGAAGAAAGTGTTTGAATGGCTGAACTTTGAGGTGGAGATTTACCGGGACTGTGAAAAAGAGAAGATGCTGTCGGTGCTTAAAGACCTCAGAGGAAGAGACCACAGTCAGATGGACTGTCTGGTGTGCTGCGTTCTCAGCCATGGCCTGGAAGGGAGTGTGTACGGAGTAGACGGCCAGACTGTCAAAATCGAAGAAATGATGGCTCTCTTTGATGGAAAGAAATGCCCCACTTTAGTTGAGAAGCCCAAGTTGTTTTTCATCCAGGCTTGTCAGGGCACCAGGGAGCAGAGAGCTGCCCAGACTGATGGCATAGAAACAGAAGACAAGGACATTTGTTCTGATGCAAGAGTTCCTGACACCATTCCATCAAGAGCAGATTTCCTGCTGGGAATGGCCACCGTTCCGTCTTATGTGTCCTACAGAGACAAGAAAAGTGGCACCTGGTATATCCAGTCATTGTGCCGAAACCTCATCCAAATGGTGCCGCAGTAAGTAAAGTGCGATATCTGTACTGTTTGGAGGTGTTTTTCTCTTATTGTTACACTTTGCTCATTGTTTCATCTACCTGCCTAACAGGTCTGTCTCTTCTTTTCTATGATATGATTGGTCGTAAAAAGGCAACCCCAGTCCACACTGGAGGTATTAACGGCAGCGGAACGGTTTACTCGCGTGTTTCGTGGCGTGTTAATCCATGTCAAGAAGCATCTCAGATGCGGAACGGCTTCTCCTCCATCCTCCTCTTTTAACTGGTAGAATCACAAAATTCCACGAGACTTCAAAGATCACTGTTTGTTTGTGCCATCCACCATTTAACCAAAAAGAAGAAGGAGATCACATTTGATGTCGTATTTAATGTTGTGCCTCTCCACTGCTAGGACAAAAAACACCGTTGCATTTCTTGAAAGATGCTGGGAGTAAATAATCCGTTAGGTCACATGTATTGATGTAATCTTGATGGATAAAAAATTGCATTTGTGCAATAGTATTTGTTTTAAAGCTGGACGTTGCACACGGATACCGTGTGGGATTGCCCTGTCTAGCTCTATGTTACCTGTGGAAATTGATATGTCCCAGAAGTGGCCTGTGGCAAAAATGGAACCCAATCCTGTCTTTAGCGGCGCAGAGAGCCATTTCTGGGACACACCTAAAATGTCCTGTGTCGCGTTCGGTCTGGATCAACCCTTAGACTATAATGGATTCTATTTGAAGCAGAGATGTTCCGTGCCGCTGACGCCTCCAGTGTGCTTTGGGGGTTACTGTATCTAAGTGGTGTTTTTGTCATCGTCTCACAGCATCTCTTGTCTTTCTCAGGGAGGTTGATCTCATCTCTATCCTGACACAAGTGAACGCCGATGTGAGCAAGATGTCTGCTGATAAGTGGGGTCAGACAAAGCAGATGCCTCAACCAGCCTTCTCACTCCGCAAAAGAGTGGTCTTCCCCATTCCCAAAACACCTCCTCCTGAGTTGAAAACCTTCTGATCTCCTGTTAATAGAATGTAATGATCCCTGGGAGGCCGATTCCACACACTGTTTACATCTTTAAATATTGGTGCGTGTCTGTGTGACCGTTATTTGTATGTTTATTGATGAGCTCTTGTAAAAGCCCAGGAGTCTGCCTAGTTATTTCCAAAGAAGCTGAGTGTGCCAAATTTCAGCGCCTTGACACGACATTCTAATTCTGAACATGTTTTATGTTTCATTTGAGTTGGTGTTAGGTCTTAGTTTTTGCTGCAGAATGGAGTCTGCCTAGTTATTTCCAAAGAAGCTGAGTGTGCCAAATTTCAGCGCCTTGACACGACATTCTAATTCTGAACATGTTTTATGTTTCATTTGAGTTGGTGTTAGGTCTTAGTTTTTGCTGCAGAATGATTTTATTTAAATTGTCCCTGATGTGGCACTTTATATAGCCAAAGCAATAAGCATTTAGACTGAAAATGAATTTATTACCAACTTTGTTTTCTACTGCTATCTAGGTGTAATCATGACAAATTCAAGCCTCTAAACAATCTTAACTGTTCAACAGTACTATATATATATATTTTTTTTAATTTCTTAAAGAATATATTTCTTATCAAATACATTAGTGGAAATGTTCTGGGTGCTTATGTCCAACAGTTATTGGATGAGAGGCAGAGTCTGACCTGGACAGAGTCTCAAAGGGACAAACTTCTACTCACATACACACCTAGGGTCTAATAGAATTGACAATTACTCAAACATGCATGTTTTTGCACATTAGGAGAAAGCCTGAGTTGGTGTGTATGGAGAGAAAATGCAAACTATGCAAGGTTCCAGCTGGGATTTGAACCCAGGATCTTTTGATGCATGGCAACAGTATTTATGGCATTTCCGTGTTCTTTGTCAAAATAGTAAAATGTGGCTATTTAGATTATTGTAATGGGAATAGAAAAAAATGTCAAATGAACAAAGTTGATGAAAAATAAACTTTGATACAAAGTATGCTTTGTCTAAGAGTAACCTGGAAAAAAACTGGTTTCCTATTATAATTAGTTTTCAAAACTGAAATAAAATTTGTGTCAATTTAGTCTTACTTAATTTTTGCATCACATAAATACATTTTATTTATTGTTTTGCTAAAACGTTCCCCCCACTAGTGAGATACAATTTTAGGTTTTTGATTGCAGTCCATTATCTCAACCAGCAGGGGGTGCACTAAATCGCTGCAACCACTTCCGCTGACCCGGATGTGAACACGACTTTTATTTCCCTTTTTCTCCAGGAAGGATGCAGCATTTTCTTCGTTTAGAAACATGAATATGTTTAATGTGAAGAAAACCTGAAGCATTAGATTATATTTATCTTTATTTTTTAAGTTTCCACCAGATAAATTCCTGCTGACCTCCGTAAATAATCCAACATGTCTCAACAGGGGTATCAGTCACCGGACGACAAAAGGTTTGTAGCGTTATTATTTACAAGTTAAATTCAAATCATTTACAGAAACTAGTTAATGATTTTATCTTCTTGTGTGCGTAAAAACAACAGTACGGTTTAAATGGACGCTTCAAACCATTACATTGAAAACCAACGGTTATACATACATTTATTTCTCCTATTTAACAGATTATAGATTGTTTTTGTGATGAAACAACAAAATAATTTTATATTAGAAGTAATCATGAAATACTCGCAATTAGCTACAGTTCCTATTTTTCCTAAACAGTTTGGTAGACACCATATAAAATTCATAAAATATAATTTGTTCAACCAAAATAACCCCAGATTAACCTGTAACAAAGGTTGCATGTTATTGTTTCTTTGTTAAATATAAGTTTGGATTCACAAGAAGCAGAATGGGCCAGCCTGGGGAAGACCCCGATCCAAATCCTGCATGAGTATGGGACTGCCAGTGGGAACGCTCCTGTGTACGAGATGGAGAAAGCTGAAGGAAGTGGCCACCAGCCCAGCTTCTTCTTCAGCGTGAGAGTTGCAGACATTCGGTGTACAGGTAGGTACTACCTAGGTACTTCCTAACTCAGGAGGTAATTTATTGTTGAGGTTTCATGCTGAAAATCCAGTTAGAACTCACTGATCACGTTACAGGTTAGTCTTTTGCTGCTGTAAACTCTTAAATGCATCATCAGCGTGTCCCGTTGCACTTCCAGCGTAGACCTGTGCAAAGAAAATTAAAAATAATTGCAAAAATTTTAAGCTAGAAATTAAAATCTGTGATAAGATTCACTTAATTTTGCTTTTGAAACAAATTTGTTTCGTTATATTTTATTTCAGGTCAAGGTCCTACTAAAAAGGCTGCTAAACACCAGGCTGCAAGTGCTGCGCTGAAGCTGTTGAACCTCGATTCTAAAAAATTGTGAGTGAAGTCAAAACTATTTGCTTACCATTAGTTCATTTACCTGGTTTTTACAGCGAAAACCAAAGAATGTACAGCTTCTATCGGGGTCTCATATGTGAATATTTTAATGCTGCTTAGGCTGCAATAGGAATTTTATTTGTAGTTAAATAATTTGACAGCATTATCTGTAAAGTTATAGAACAAATATATTCAGCAACGTCAGTCGTCAGAAGTTTTGCGTTTTGTTGTATTTATTTGATTTCTTATAACTGTTGAAGCTCTAATGTGTTTGACGTGACGCCCAATAGGACCTCTCCTGGGAAGTCCGACACCAACGGGGATGCAGCGGATGCAAACTACAATCCCAGCTCTGTGTCCCTTCTGCAGGTGTGATCACGTTACATCTTTTATATGTCACGTTTGCTTTTGTGAAAATGTAAAATTATTGTTTTATGTAATTTCTGACGGTCTGTGTTACAGAAGAGAGTACTTATCTTGCTGCAGCTGTTTTACAGTCATGTTTGTATTATTTAACCTTTAAGCAACTGATCAAGGGTGTCATTTTAGTTAATTATATATCATTTTTCTCTTCATATTAATTGACCTAAAATTAAAAATTATTATTAGGAGTTAACGATCCAGAGAGGATGGCGTCGGCCTGAATATGCAGTTCTAGCTGAGTCTGGTCCACCACATCAGAGGGAGTTCACTGTCGCTTGTAGATTTGACTCTCTTACAGAAAAAGGAAAGATTAAACATTTTTTTCAGTCATTTAAATAGTTTGTTTGTTTTGGTTCTGTTGTTTTAATCCTGTTTTATTTATTTATTTATTTTTAGGTGTTGGAAGTTCTAAAAAAGCAGCAAAAAGGGAGGCTGCAGAGAAAATTGTGGCAAAGCTTCAAAGTTTGTCAGGCGGTCCGGAGATCACCTGGGTGAGTCAGGTCTTTCATTTCACCTCCTAAAACATCCACAAGATGTTTGAAATGTTCTTGTTGCTGGTTTTTCAGACTCCTAAACCGAGTGTCCTCCTCGAGAATGTGAAAAAGTCCTCCGCAGAAAAGATTTCCCTACTGAGGAGAAGCCCGCTGAACATTCCCAACGCGGATTACATTCAGATGTTGTTGGATCTGTCCCACGAGCAGGGCTTCGAGGTCACATACTATGATATTGGTAAGAATTTAGTGCTTTGGTTGATGTTTGGAGGCTTCTTTTATCCCGAAAGGCAGAAAAACAGACTCAGGGGAGACCCTATGTCTGCCTGTAGAAAATCCCTGACTGTGTTCATGTCTGACAGATGAGCTGACTGTAAACGGACAGTACCAGTGCCTGGCAGAACTATCCACCGACCCCGTCACCATGTGTCACGGCACCGGCATCTCCTGCAGCAACGCTCACAATGTGGCGGCACATAGCGCGCTCCAGTACATCAAGATCGTAGCCTCCAGCAAATAGACACATCCGCCTGACCACAGCAATCACAGATATCAGCTGACGGCTCGTCATAACAAGGTCCTCCTGCAATATGAGCTGAAGATCGGTGAAGTGTGTGTTTATTATGGTGTGTATGTGTGTGTGAAAACGGTTTCATTCTTATGCTTGCTGTAAAATCATTGGGATTTGTAAAGATTTATTTTTGTAGTCATGTAGAGCGGCTTCAGACACCACAGAAATGATAGATCAGTGATTTATTTAGCCCCCCCCCCCCCCCCCAGTGTTGCATTTTCCCCATATATGCAGCTTTACTTTGACCAGGATGTACTTTTTATTATGATATGAGGATTGTTTGCATTTCATTCCACAACTGAAATAGAATTTGTATTTATTTTACTTTTAACACTATTGAGTCTGTCGAGTGGAATCAGCAGCTTTATTTTTGTGTTTGGGGAAGAAAGTAAATGTTAAAGCTCAAAAACCAGTCCAATCCTGTTGTCTGTTGCTGTTGCTCCTGTGGGGTGCCTCATTATATAAATAAGCAAACTAATATATTTATCAGAAATGTCCTGGCCTGTGCTTGCTGTTATAAAAAATTAACCCTGAGTGCAGAAAATAACACCGATCTGAACCTTAACGTTTGTGTCTGTTATTGTTTGTTTAGGTTTTATTAGTTCATCAAGAATCGCATCTTCAAATTCTAACAATACCATCAGAATCAGATAATGCATTAATTATTAATTTTTTCAGTAAAAAGGCAAATTTTTTAATGTCAAGGCTTTGTATTTTTCTATTGAAAGTAAATATTATACAAATCAAAAATATTCATAAATTATTTACACATGCTAAATTCATTTTCCTTCAGATTTCTAGTTTAATCATTAAAATACTCCAGATTACCAAATTAAGCTTCTTGAAAACGCAGTTTTCATAGAAAATGGTTAATTTATGTGATATCGCCACCTACTGGTCAGACATTTTAAGACAAAAGGTGTTCAAAATGTGTTTTAATATTAATCTATCATACTTGCGTGTCTTGCGGATTGGTGCTGCATCTGCAGTGATGTGGGCGTTGTACCGGTCTGTCGTGGTGAAGAGAGCTGAGTCAGAAGGCGAAGCTCTCGATTTACCGGTAGATCTACGTTCCTACCCTCACCTATGGTCATGAGCTTTGGGCAGTGACTGAAAGAAGGAGATCGCGGATACAAGCGGCCGAAATGAGTTTTCTCCGAAGAGTAGCTGGGCTCTCCCTTAGAGATAGGGTGAGAAGCTCGGTCATTTGGGAGGGGCTCGGAGTAGACCCGCTGCTCCTCCACATCGAGAAGAGTCAGTTGAGGTAGCTAGGGCGTCTGGCCAGGATGCCTCCTGGACGCCTCCCTGGTGAGGTTTTCCGGGCACGTCCAACCGGGAGGAGACCTAAAGGTAGACCCAGGACACGGTGGAGGGACTATGTCTCTCACCTGGCCAGGGAACACCTTGGGATTCCCCCGGAGGAGCTGGCCCAAGTGGCTGGGGAGAGGGAAGTCTGGGCCTCTCGCCTTAGGCTACTGCCCCCGCGACCCGGCTCCGGATAAGCGGATGAAAATGGATGGATGGATGGACTTGTGTGTCTTAAAATGCTTCTTTTTAAGAAGATACAAAATTAACATTTTTACGTGACCATTTAATTAGTTATTTTGATTAAGACAGCTTGTGTGCCTCTATAAAAAATCCTAATGTAAAAAAAAGTCTGCTTTCTGTCATTAGTTTTAGGAATTATGTACCTAAAACAAGCCATTTCAAGAAGTCCCCTTTAGTAACATTACAAATAAGTAGATTAAACCTACCTCTCACATGCCAAGAGAGCTGCTGCTAGAGGTGCATGTAGCATTCGTGGAGAAAGGGTGGGTGTGGCCAGTTCCAGCTTGTTTACTTAAAGCAACAGAGCCCTGAAATGGCTCATTCTGGAAGGTACTGAAACTGTCAAGAATAAAACTGCGGAACCATCTTAATTTTAGCAGTATTTAGTGCCAAAAACGTCATTAAAATGCTTATTATAGACCACAGAAGTATTTTAAGAAAAAAAGTCATATTATGTCCCCTTTATTAAATCACATTTAACAGCAATTTAAAAACACTTTCATGTTGTTTTCCATCATTTTCAAATGCTAACAAAGATTCATTCTGGTGATGTTCTTGCTGTCAATTCTTTATGTCAATCTGCTGTTTTTGAGCCTTCATGTCGTAAAACTTTTACATAGTGGACAAAAAAGCCCCAAAATAAAAGCTCAATTAACTTACTGCAAAAAGAAACAATCAAATAAAAAATAAACTAAATACATAGAGTAACTGAAGGAGTGCCACACTGGTGAATCATATTAACTTGTAATGAGATCTTAGTAGATTTGTAGCTTTAAAGGTGCAGTATGTACAAATACAGTGAGAAAATCCCAAAAGAGGCTAATGTTTCAGTCATTTTGGAAGGATGGTTATATTGAAACATATTTCATACACAGCTGGCTGCAGGTGCAGGGATTGTCAGTTTTTGTCCTTTCAAAACAAAGGAAGGAGGGACGTAACTACTGTTTACCATTAGTACATGACAAAAAGCTCCAGAGTTGTCATTTCGACATAATGCACCTTTAAATAAAGCTGTTGTGTCTCTTTAATTGTCAAAAACATTTACAACTAAAGAACCACACACACTCAACAGCTGAGTTTTGCAGTTTTATTAGAACAAGCACTATGCAGCAGCAGTGAACAGTGTTTATGGAAAGATATGTACTTAGTTTAGAATTGCACTTTAGAAGGTACCCATTAGATCTGAATGAAAGCGAGCAGACTCGTCCTGGTGCGCCTCAGTCTGGAGAAAAACAAAAGTGTCCAATCGAGAAAACTAAACCCTTTTCTTTAAGGCGTCGCAAACATTCACTGGCAAGCTACGTTGTCTACACATGCAGGTGGAACGATGGATGACGAAAGCTTGAGGTGTTTTGTTATTTATTTATTTTTTCCCTCCACTACATTCTGACTCTATGATTACGAGCACTACACAAAGCTCTGCTCAGACCTGTGTAGCTGCTCTGGTTACGGGTGGAAAAGCCTCTGAGCAGCTCTGCAAGCGTGTTAGCCTGAAAATAAAACTCATCCCGATCCACAGTCAAATCCTCGGCACGTGTAATTATCGGTGAGCAGGTGGACGGTGAGTGGATACTTTTATTTCCTTTTTTTTTTAATGGCATACCTTCTGTTTGGCGTGGGATTCCCATTTGTTGTGTGTTTGTGAGGCATTAATAAATGCGCTATAAGGCACGGCGAGTGAAACGGATGCTGAAGAGTTTGTGATCTCGGAAAAAAAAACAGAAAACATTTTATAAGTAAAAAAAAACGCATGGGTGCAAAACTGTTTTTGTTTTTTTTTAAGTGTGAAGATTTCATAAAACAAACAAAAGAAAGGGCACCAATTAAAATTCTTAAAGCTGCTTTGCAATAAATATACAAACTTCAAATACCTGCAAACAACACAGCAGTGAGATCTTTTGTGGATTCAGACACATTAATGCTTTAAAACAAATAAAATAAAAGACCAAAATGTACATTTATATAACCACGTTTCAGTATTTTTTATTTCACTTGGCGACCTGTAGGTGTCACCAGTGTTTCAATTGTTCATCTTCAAACATGAAGAGCTGAAATAATTCCTTCAATAATGCATCAGACTAATAAATAATTTAGGGTATTTATCAAAATATCAAGCATTTTCTGGCACCAAATGCGCTTTTAAAACAAATTAATATCCTGTAAATGATTTTTTTTGGTTAATAAGATGTAGGAAGTGGGTTTTTAACATGTTTTAAATGAAGTATTTTCACCCTGAAATAAAATCTTTCATTCATTTTTAAAAATAAATCCACTTGTAAAGGTTTAAAGGCCAAAATCACTAAGCTTTACAATCTTTATCCACTTCTCTGTCTATTCTGACAACCTATCATTCCACCAAAACACATCTATCTGCACCACTTTCAGTAAGGAGCACATGCTTAATGTTTTCGTATCATATAATACGTGTGTAGGGGGGGGGGGGGGGGGGATTGACGTTCCTGCATAAATTATACAACACATTGTTCCTGTTGGTTGAAAAAGGCTCATTTCAAAGAGAAAAAGCAAACGTAGAATGAGTCGTGTCCCAGGAGAAAGCACTGCTACCTCACAGACTGTAATGATATTAAAAAGCAAAAATAAATAAAATCTGCCAATTCTAATAATCCTCTTTCACACAAGATATTTTATAAAAATACCCTTTTTTCTCTACTTCATGATATATATATATAGTAAATACGGCATTATGCCATTGAAAGCTGCTCTCTAAACATGCACGGTATTGTTGAAGGTCTACTTTGTAGATTAGTCTAAAACAAACTGCTGTCAGGAATGAAATGGCTTCAACTGAAAGTCTCCTCCGACTTGTATGGGGGTCTTTTTTAAGGCAAGGACAAACTGGAAAGTTAAAAGAGCTGAGGAAAGATCTACAGAGGGAGGGGTGGGGTGGTTGCCTTGACAACCCAGCTTCAAAAAGCTCGATGAAGGAGATCCTACGAGATGTCCATAAAACCCCAGACAGGCTCAGGTCATCCCTCAGCTCTGCAGTCTTTTGATTTCCCCCATGCACACAGATGTTCATGTGTGTGTGTGTGTGTGTGTGTGTGTGTGTGAGGGTGTGTGTGTGTGTGTGCATAGGTAGCAGCCTTCTCATCTGTGTGCTACCACAGGCTCACGGTTTCTTCCATGTTGATAAAGCCGGGGTTCTTTCGGAGGTCCCAGTAGGTGTTGTTGGAGACCCACCTCTCCCTGTGATTGCCATCCATCACTTTCCTGGGAAACACACACGAGTAAAAGGGACAAAGGCTCACAAACACATCTGGAATATTTGCTACCTTTTAAAATAACTGACCATCAAGATGAAGAATTCTTCAGAAATGACATTTTGAACAAGCATTTCTTTAGGCTACAAAGCCTTTAAATGACCAGAATAAACCTGTAATCACTCCAATGCAAAGATCTTTGCTCAAAGGCAAAAACAACAGTTTTCCACTCTAATCTACACTTTTAAAAACTGAAGTAGAAACATCACACTGACGTTTGCAGTGACAAAACAAAGTGAATAAGAGCAATGTTTTCTCCCCCAGATAGCTTCAGATACTTAATATGGGTGACTGTTCAGCCGGACAATCACCATGGCAACCTGAAATGGATGTTTCTGCGCCAACTCAGTTCATAGACAAGCCAGAGATGCAACTTTTTAATAAAAGGACGGTCTGCTGAGTGGAAAAGGCATGTTTTAGGGAGCTCTCACTTAAAGAAGCGTGGCTCGTGTTTGACGTTGTTCTCCTCGTTCCACTTCCTCCTGGTCCTCTGCACGTCCTCAATGCGCTGCTTCTCTGAGGTTGCCATCTCCAAGTTTCCCTCTTCCAAATGTCTGTGCCGAGAAAACAAGCACCAAACATGGGGCGAAATAAGAAAGTGATGTTTAAAACGGACACCTAACCAACAGAGATGGAGTTCGTACCTTTGATCGGGCCTGAATCGGGCATCTGTGCGCGGCAGGACGTCCTTCAGCTCTGGACAGAGCTCATTCAACTCTATGGCGAATCTGGTGAAACCGTAGTACAATTCATAGTCCGTGGGCATGGAACCTGACAGAAAGAGGTAATCAAATCCACCGTTTAGCTTAAAAACTGGACAGGGAGCAGCCTTAATCCAGAGTTTCCCCTTTCCTCTAGGGACTATGTTAGCCTAGAAATCTAGACCAACCATAGCAGCAACAGACGGTCGGTCAAGCCACGCTTCATTATTGCACCAGCAGGTCTACCATTGGCCTGAACAATTTGGTGTCTTGCCAGTTACAGCTCTCTATAGTTGCTGGGTGGGCTTTGCAATACAACTGTGATGGAGAAAAACTACAAAGACGCCATTTGCTCAAGAACGACTGTCGTTTGATACGGCTTTGGCATCAACTTTGGACGAGTTAGACTTGAGCTTTTCTCTGAGACATGAGTAGATAAAGGTACATAAGTCATTTATTTAGAAAAATGATGAATATGTCATGTTATTTGTTGCTCTGATTGTCAATGCCAAACTGCGTGCAAACACAGTTTGATAGACAATCGTAGCTCTGTCTGTGGGTCATGGCTGGACTATATATTCAGATATACAGGACAGCTTTCCAGGCTATGATTTTTTGGAAATCCGTAAAAGTGATAGTCTGACCCGGCACGTTGATACTCTGTAGGCAATACATCAATATTAATTTTTTGCTAAGCCTGCCCCCATCCCGTAGCACCCCGAGCAATTTGAATTGAATGACCCACAGCATTGGTCAATAGAGAAAGATATTCACGGATGTCAATCACACGTCCACACGCGTTTGTAGAGGTACCAAGACTGATGCAGAGTTGGTGACATTTCTCATGTTTTAGCTCTGTTGGCTGGCTAGATGCGTGTTCAAGAACGAGAGGCGTCACTTCCAGGCCAACTCACACAATCAAGTAGGAAGATAGGCTTAAGGTGCAATTCATTTATGTGCCTGTAGATGGTGCTCTCTGACAAAAAAAACCCTCCAGATGTCTGCTTTAAGTAGAATCTGGTGGTGCATTACCTGGCCTCCAGACACATTTGGCTGATGGTGGCACGCCACAGTAAAGACCCTCGTGCCATTTCCCAAAGAGCCTGTGGACCACTTTCCCCTCTTGGTCCATCACAAATCCTTGAACCTCATTTACATTTGAGCTCCAGTAGTTCCCCTAAAATACAAGTGTGACATGGTGATTTTTACAGAGATTTTATTTTTAAACAATCATAAAATGTGCCAGCACTGGTATTTGTTACCTTAACAAAGGTGAGTTTACAGAGGCAAGCGCTGCTCTTCATGTTCCTGATGGTGATCTCCCCATAGTGCTCGATCCATCGTCGTCCACTGAGGATGTTGTGGACGCAGGTGGTGACTTTGTTCCACTCGTAGTGATCTCCAAACCTAACCAAAGAAAATAGTGATGAAAGGATGGAGCAAAATTCAAATAATATTATAACAACTTTACTATTGTCCTGGTTTAGTCATCCATTAACGCTCCAGCAGACATGATGCACCAACTGTCTTTAAAGTGACAGTGTGTAGTTTACCTGGTGATAGGGGGCAATACATACCTAAATCATTGCAAGCAAGCATTATTTTTGTGTTAAAGTAAGACCGTACCCAGAGCTGTAGAAAGAGAGAGTTGTGACACTCCAATAGACCTCTATGGAAAGAATGGAATGTGGAAGTCACGTGGTTCATGTAGCTTCGAATAGTTCCAAACAGCCCCCGCTGCTGCATTGACCGCAGTTCATTTTCGGTGTTTAGGAAGGATTTTCTCCGGTAAGTTGATGAAATGTCATCTTTTTTTTTTTTTTTTGCATTGTGAAGCGTTAGCTAAACGCTTCGTACCAAAATAAGCCGATGACATTTTATGCTGCCAGTTTTAGCTAGATAACCTTTAATGAGCTAATTGTGTGCAGCTTGTTGATGGTGAGCAGGAGGGGTTTAGACAAGCATGACGAGCTGTAGACGGGGTTATTTCAGTTTGTTTGATTCTACATTTTAAAAATATTCCCCACAGTTTGAAATAGGTTATAGGTTACATTATTAGTTTTATTTGGGATTTTTTTTGTACACTACGTTGCTGGTTGCTGTATCAACATGAACATGCATCAGAAATGGAAGCGCAAATGGAGAGACCAATAATAAAGAAAATGTGATTGTGAAGACAAGTAATTATTTAATATTTTTCAGTTAATAACACCGACTGCAACGAACTGCTGAAGCATGAGACAAACAGGATTACGAACGTAAGAAGATATGTTGTACTGTTTTGTGTACTCAATAAGAATAGAATTAAGATACTTCAAGATATATTTCAAGCTTAATGGGCTGCATTTGTCTTTGCAGGGTTCTAACATCAGACAGTGGGATACTCATGTCCTGAAGAAACCTGTAGGCTGTTGAACCCACTGAAAAAACGAGTTGTACGACCTCTTTGATCGTCTGCTTACTCCGTTTAATGCCTCTTGTGTTTTTCATGCCTTTTTGATTTTCTATTTCCTCCCTTAGGTTTTCCAGCTGGGTTCCCTGGTTGCATAGCCTGTTCCTTTCTCCTCCTGGCCCTGACGCCGGCTCCTCATGGCTTCCTGGGATGTCCCCCTCTCCTGATACCATCTCATGTCCCCCCTCACTTACCCTCATCTCATTTGCCTCACTGCTGCTGCTGCTTTCCTCAATCGCTGAATTTATAATGGCACTGTTAGAATAAAGAATAATTTTAAAATAAAATAAATACAAATGTCTAATATTTCAAAAGATTGGTACCACAGTTTACTTGAGTACAATATGTGTGGTCACTGGTCAGTGGATCAACATGCAGTGGTTCTGCTGTCCTTCTCACTGCGGGGTCCTTCCTCCTCCTTGGTTCAGGGCGATGAACAAACAGGGTTGGAACAGCATCAGCCCTGAGTCTCACCTTGCCTTGCCTAGTCTTAGTAAACTGTCCCTGCTCAAAAAGTGCCTGTAGAGTGGTGTGTTAGTTTATTTCCTGCCACGTTTAACAGTTTAATTGCAGCCTTGTGCAGCTGAGAGCAAAACATGTAGAGCCTTGATAGAAAACATTTGAGAGTGCATGTTAAACTCACTGCACACAGCTTTTTGTTATTGTGATCTCTGGTCATGGTGAGGTTGCTCCTGCTGACTTGAGCCAACCATTTTCTCTTCTCTCTGCATCTTTGGGGAAGCCATAATTCTGATTCCTCTCTCAGACCGATTGCTATATGCAGGGCAGCCAACAAGATAATCAACCTATAAAGGTATTGTTAAAATACTATTTTTGTACATATAGAAATATTGAACTAGACCAAAAATATAGAGATGTAAAATTACATTTCAACATTTTATCCAACCCTAAAATTAGTCATTTCAAATTTTAACCCACTGACAAATTTGATTTAAATAATAATCAAAGTAAAGTTATTCAAAAGAGTTTCATTAGGTCTTGAGTACATTGCTCATAATTAATGATTCGGCTTATTTGTGCATATGTAATGACTAAACATAATGTTGGTAAAATGGTTTATTAAAATGCTATTATACATGTTGTACAAGTTTGGTGTTCATTTTTTCACAAATAACACTTTTTTTATCTACGGAGTTTGACCATACAGTTTCATTGAAAATTTCTTTGTAATTAGTTGCTATAGAAGCCAGATAAACTGGGTTATAGATGCATGTACTGTCTTCACATAAAAATATAAAGTACAGATTGTAAAATGTATTCTACTGAACATAATAGATCATCATTCAAAGCATGAACAGCTACATATTTTCTTCAAGGTAAGCTGGAGCAGAATTCTAGCTTTCAATAAACACTTTAAAATGGATATTACAACTCGAGTTTAGGGCTTCTTGTAGGACTTAGTTATTAAATATGCTTATATTAGAGCAGTGTGTTGCATTAATACATCAGATTTATTGCAATAGTATATTATAGTAATGTATGTGGTCTAAATATATTCTAAAATGTGTTAGGACCGTCGTGTTCCTGTAATGTACAACAATCACGGGTGTCTGTCTTCCTACAAATGCTTGGAAAAAGTAAATAAACAGGCTATTTTGTGAAGGAATTAGGACATAATATATAATATAATATATAATATTATTCAATAATTACCAAAAATTGCCAGGGGAAATGTGACAATATTAAATTTTTGTGATTTGTCCCACCATACGCCGTTCAAACTGACTTACGGCGCTGAGATGTTTGGAACCATTGAGAGCTCCATGAACCACGTGACCACGAGTCGGCGAGTTCAAAGCGTGTCGCAACTCTCTCTTTCTACAGCTCTGACCGTACCAATGGCCATAAGGGTCAAAAATCCCTGGGGATGCAACCTCCAGCAAAATAACAAATACATCAGATTCTCTTTCATCAGTGGCAACGAGTGAAGAGGTAAATGTGTAAAATAACTGTTTATTATTGGTGAAAGTTTTGTAACCATTTGTTACAAATCAATAAATGGGTTGTGTCCTCACAGGTTTCCTTAGAAGGAAACATGGCATCGCCCAGAGACTTAGACCTATGTATTTTAGAACAGATTTTTATGGTTATATGTTATGAAACTGCCAATATTTTTCAACAACTGGGCATCTTTTCATTAATTCACAACACTTCAATGGATATTTCCAGAGATTAATGGTAAAAACTACACATTGTTACTTTAATAGAGCTAAACAAGAGTAAACAGTTATCCAAAATGTTTGTTTTTACACCATAAAATGTAAATAATTCACTTTTAGTTTAATTATCTACAAACATATGTTTATTCAGTTGAACATTATAAGCACTGCTGAAGCTGATTTAATCACTCTTCTGTTTTTTTAGTCATAATGTAGACACGACACAGCTGAACATGGCCGACTGTTAATTGCAGTAAACCCAGTCACCCCCCACCTGCCCTGTTTTTATAAGAACAAACTGTGTTTATTCCCAAATGCATCAGGCCAGAGGTTACCTGGGAATCGTGAGATTCACAGATCCGATTGGTAAAATTTCCATCGATTTCCCCCAGAATTTGTTTTTCCATCTCACATCTGGAAAGCACAACGACACCTTTAGCACAGGTCCAAAACACTTTGTCTGACACTACATTTATTGCTTACTTTATAAAACCATCGCTGGAAATAAAGAGGCCTGATTGAGCCTTGTTGGCTCACATTCACTAAGCTGCAGCTCCTCTAAGAGAAGTCTGTTTCTAATTAGACAGGTGGTCTACCTTGCCAGAAGGTGAAGTTCTTTGATTCGCAGTGGCAGGCAGAGATGGGAGGGTGGTGGCTCACCTTTCAGAAAACATCAAAAAGTAAAAGTCTCAGATCCAAGAAGAAATGTGAAGAAATGGTTCTCCTCTTTCAAAGGTTACTAGATCGATCTGGAAACTGTTCTTTGAACCTCTACATAGCTTATGGAACTTTTCTGGGACTCACAATGACCCAGGAGCTTTGATAAAACTGATGATCTATATAGGATTCATTCATATTTTGGATGTTCACATTAAACCCTGGAACGTGAGTGGTGCTCCAACATTCTTCTTTGTTGTTTTCCTCTTGTCAAATAAGGACGCTAGTAGTAACTCGGACTAGTGGTAGCAGTACTTTGGGCTAGTATTAACAGTAGTATGGGCTAGCGTTAGCAGTACCTCGGGCTAGCATTAGCAATAGCTTGGGCTAGCGTTAGGAATAGCACGGGCTAGCATTAGCAGTACCTCAGACTAGCGTTGGATGGAGCTTGGGATAGCATTAGCATTATCTTGGGCTAGCATTAGCAGGACCTCAAGCTAGCATTAGCCGTAGCTTGGGATAGCGTTAAGAATAGCACAGGCTAGCATTAGCAGTACCTCAGATTAGCATTAGTAGTAGTTTTGGCTAGCATTAGCAGTAGTTTGGGATAGCGTTAGCAGTATATTGGGATTGCACTAGCAGTAGATTGAGACAGTGTTAACAGTAGCTTGGGATTGCATTAACAGTAGCTTGGGCTAGCATTAGCAGTAGCTTGAGCTAGTGCTAGATGTAGCACAGGCAAAATCTAAAGATTAAATATCAGCTTTGGATCTCACAAGGCAAATCAAAAAAATTATCAGCTGGTTTACACACAAAAAAGAAAGCAACAAACTAGATTCAGGCTTTATTGGACATGGAATCTTCCCAATATTTTTAGTTTTAAGCTCAAAACATGGGAAAAGAGAAAAAATAAAAATAAACTACCAGAATGTCGATCACTTTATGGATTTGATGTGCTTCTTGGTTTTGTACACAAGTCTGTTTTCCCCTTGGTAAGTTACAGTTTGTGGTCCAATTTGCCATGAGATGATATAAAAAGTGATTAGTAAAAGGAAAAGCTGTGTATCATTTTTCCATCTAGAAATGATTAAAACCTTAGTGTAGACTCATTCTTTACATTAGTATCCGAGTTATTCCAACAGTATTTCAGCCACATTCACGTTTGTTAGTTAAGTCTAAACATCCACCAGATATTGAGGGACTTACCTGCTCAGAGAAAAAACAGAAGCCCTTGTCTTCTCGAATACATTCGTACGATTCCCCCAGCAGCGGGTTGAATGGCTTACTTCCTGCTCTGTAATATGTGGACGAGTAGCCGGAGACAGCAAACGCAGCTACGAGGACCTGCAAAGGAGTCAAAACTGGATCAATAATGCAGATACTGTCATGAATAATTAGTTTAATCAGAGAAAGAAGACGTGGACGAAGCAGACATGCCTTCCAGAGGGACTATTTATGTTAACGTGACCTACAATGTGACCTCACAGCAGCGAAGGACACAAAAACACAAACCATGCGCTCGAAGGGATCCTCGGTCTCAGCAGCCTTGTCCAGCAGCTCGCTGTACTCCAGCTCTTCACACATGCGCTGCAGCGTGTTGAGAGGCTCGTTGAGCTCCACGGGCATGGACACTTTGGACAAATCTTTGCCGATGTTGTTCCTCAGGATGTTCCACAGGTTGATGTTGCTGGTGTCGGGACAGGGCGCCGGCAGGCAGATGCGCCGCCCGTTACGGAAGGAGCTGCCGGCAAAATCTCCATTGGCCACTGGTATAAAAAAAGAAAACCCAAATTGTCACATTTATTATGTTTATGTTGATATAAATTAATGACATTTTTTGAAATTTTGCATTTTTTAAAATTAATCATTAACAATATGTAACAGAAACAGAAAAAAATCTGACAGTACAAGATTCTAAATTAGAAAAATCTATTAAAATCTGGATTATGTTAGAAGAAAAGAAGCCACAAAGCCCTGCCATGTTTAATCTCCCTAAATCTAAACAGAGTTTATTGATCATTTGTAAATAGAATTAGCAATCAGAGGTCATCTTATAAAGCTTCCTAAAAAAGTATCCAAGTTTCCTGCACTGTGTGTGGATGTGACAGATGAAGGAGGGAGATCCCGTTTCCCTCTTCCCCCTCCGACTGTTTCATAACACCAGAGAAAAGCCTGGAGCGGCACTGCAAAGTCAGCCGCCTCTGCAACACTGATAAATGAGCTCTCTGGTACGAGTGTCTCTGCATATGGAAGTGGCGATGCAGAAGAAGCTCTGCTTTTTTGGGGGGGATTTGAATTTCCTGCGCTTTGCTGGTTTCTACTCTTTTCATGGTCGGACGTGGCGGCGCAGGATCGGCACCTACTTTGTCTGGAGACGTTATCGGTCACGCTTGCGTTGTCCTCGGAAATGTTATCGCTCACATCGCTGACGTATGACTCATCGTCTGAGCCCTGTGGGAGGTACAGGTGGAGAGTCGGAGCATAAGCAACCAAGTTCATCTCACACACACGCGCGCACACACACACACTGTCGTTGCAGTTTGCCGGTGGCTAGCAAACTGCAGCGGAAGGACTCTCTGTCCTGCTGCAGAAACGGTGGAATGAGACACTGCAGCACTTTTGTTCTTTATATCTAAAAATGCAATAAGGTCACGGATGGCAGCAGATTGTCGCTGCTCCTAATAAAAGCCTCAGTAACAGCTGTCTACTGCGAGTGAAGGCCTGCAAACAAACGAACAAAAGCATCGCCTGCCTCGACTCTTATAGATCCTTGCACAATCAGGGAGCTAAAATGCAAAAAAAAAAAAATGCTTCAAAGCTCTGCAGAGATCTTCCACAGCAAATTTAGATCTGGATATTCCCAGCAGTTAAAAAGGAGTCATGACAACATTTTTCTTTGATTTCTCAGTGGAAGCACTGATTTAAGCCAATTCTTAATTCGCTGTGCAGACCATACAGTACCACATTTCCCGTAAGCCTCAGCTGCGCTGCGTTTTACCTCATTCTCGGACGAGCTGGCTGACAGAAGCACTTCCTGCGCATCAAAGAACTCAGAGACAGACTCTGACATGGAGAGTCGGCTTTCATTAGAGGCCTGCTGAGTCAGAGGGATCCCCATCTGCTCCGCGGCCTGCAGGCAAACACAAGCAAACACAGCATTTGTTCACCGGTCCTCCATTTGATGACAGCATCAGGACCCAGAACGGACCTGAACAAACAGAAACAGTACCAGAGGGCAAACATAGAGCTCCTATTACTACATGTGTCTTCACTCCAATGGGCAGGTTTATTCCACATGAAAGTGGACGTCAGATCCTGCATAGAATTATGTTTCTTTAACTTACCAGTCTGTATTGGAAAGACTGTAAATCTTTGGGACAGGGATCAATAGCGCAACAGAGGACAGCAGGAAGCAGGCACTCCAGATATGTGGAGTGCCTCGGAAGATGTAGTTTTTATCAGTGCCCGCAGAGGAAATTAGCTCCATCAGATACAGACTGACAGCGGCAAGCTTACCTCATCAGGCGTGGCGATGATGTTCACACTGACCACTTGTTCAGTCAAGATTGATTCAGAGTGAATCCGGTTGAGCCGGCTTCGCAGCTCTGCATTCTGGGACAAAGCCTAGAATAAAATAAAAATAATAAAAAAGTAGAACAGGAATAAAGATCCGACCCTTTAATCTGATGATGATAAGCTCAATGTAGGCCCGCACTAAATCAAAGGAAACTTTGGATTTTAAGTGTTTTTTTATTGTTAAAACAATTAAAGGACAATTATATTTGATGATTTTGAAGCCAGATTTGATCTTATAGTTAGTGGTTTTGCCCTCTAATAAGCTAAAATTATTATAAAAACTGCCTTTAAGCCCCCAGGAAAAAAAAAACATTTAAGATCAGCAGTGGAGGTAAACACACACTTTAAAAAATAAAATTGTTGACTTTATTTTGTCAAATTATGTCAACTGGTTCCAATAAACCTAGCTGCTTAAATGTAAAGAAAATGTTACGTTTACTTTTAGCAAAACAACATTTACCAACGTATATTCAAGCAGCTATGTTTAGTGGAGCTGGGTGGAAAATTTTGGTTAAGTTAATTCAACATTTCATCACTTACAGTGTAGTGAGTTTTTCTAAAATAAGCTATAAACATTTAGAAAGAAAGAAAATATATAAAAAATAACATAAACCAGTGTAATTAGTGACTGAATGACCCAAATACCAATTATATTATTATATTTATCAAATTTACCTCTTATTTGAAAATAAATATTTAGAAATTTAGAAAGAAAGCTTTATTTGTTTGCACCATCCAGACATTTTTAATGTTGGTCACGGAGGTAGGACACTTCTACGGAGGATCAGAAACACAAAAGTGTATTTAAAAATATATATTTTGCATTCTATAAAAATATAATTTGACTCACTGTCCTATTTGTAAGGGTTCTTAAAATGAGCCAAAGTGACAAAAATGGAGGCTGACAAATTTCAATAATATTTACAGCAAAAAGCTGAGACAGCAATGTGGTATAGAGGAGATTAGTGGATTGGAAATGGATGAGTTGGAGAAATTAATGAGACATGGAGGAGAAAAATAGACTGAAAACAAAGAAAAAATCAAGGAAAACAAAGACAAGAATAAATAAGATCCAATAAAACTGCATGTGAACCAAACCAAGTCAGTAGATAAAAGAAAAGAACACACCTCTTTAAGTGCACACCTATGTAGGATCCAAAACAAGCAAGAATATATCAAAGGCATCCACCAGTTGTAACTCTTAGCAGCTGTCGCTATAGCAACTGCAACCTCCTGATTATCAGCCTCCCACAGCGCTTCACACAAATCCTGACCTGAAGCTTGACACAACGTGTCATGCTAGCACCCAATTAAAATATTTAAAAAAAGATAAAAGAAGGTGAAATGCTGGACTAGAATGATGTCAACAGATAACAGAAGAACGGTCCAATTAAATCACTGATGGAGAGAGAGAGAGAGAGAGAGAGAGAGAGAGAGAGAGAGAGAGAGGGAGAGAGAGAGAGAGAGAGAGAGAGAGAGAGAGAGAGAGAGAGAGAGAGAGAGAGAGAGTCCTAGGAGGTTCGTTAATGAACCGTAAAGCACATTTCTCTCCATCACCAATTAATACGGGAAAAGATGATTTCCCGACTCCCTTGCCTCTGATCTCATCTGAAGTTTTCAGTTTTAGCTGGGATTATCATGACTGCTTTATTTAAACTGCAGCTTCTCCACAAAAGTTCAATTAACATGAGAAAAAAGTAAGACAAAAAAACCTACAAAATAATTTCACATAGATTTTGCTCAAAATATAGCAGCGATTTTCACCCCCTTAATTTCCTAATGGACAAATATATCAGCAAGCACATATATTAATAAGGAGCATTAGGAGGAAAGAGGCATCATGGGAAACAGTTTTATTACCAGTGACAGCGACTTCCTGAGCGAGTTGATCTGCACCGACTGGTCCGACTGGTCCTGCTCAGACAGAATCTGTTTGATCTTTTCTTTTTCTATGGCCACTGTGTTGAAGGCGGACTTCAGCAGCGAGTGGGCTGTAACGAGAAATAGTCCTCAGGGGCTTTAACACGATCTCTGAATAAAAATCTTTACTCCCATAAGACCAAGAAAACATTTCTTCCTGTGCTGATCAGTCCTTTTCTACATTTGTGATTTGCCTCTATGTTTTTTTTTATTGTAATTTAAAACATTAAAGGGAAACTGCCTTTTTGGCTTGCTTTTAGCACCCCCTAGAGTCCGTTATTAATTCACTGTTGTAAAACCGGAAGTGAAACTTTGTTCATTCGTCTTTTAACACTTAATCTAACTACTGAAATGTCTCCTCAGCCTTTGTTAGTTTCTACAGTAGTGGTTCATCCCTAAAAACAAATCAGTTGTGTTCACAATCTAAAACAGACTAGACTCCAGTGCTGGCATGTCAGCTCCACTTTACTAAGACTAAGAGGAACTGGCCCGCTACTCTGAAGTTGCAAGTGCGGTATTCTGGCCACAGGGGGCGGTGGGGTCCGAGTGACATTTCATTAACCCTGTGCTAACACCACAAGTGCCAGATTGCTGACGGTTTTAGATGTTTTCCTGCTTGATCACCGCAGACTTGATTTAAATGAGTAATTAGCAGCTCCTGCAGAACCTGATGTTTTTGAGCAGGAACATATCAAAAACATTCCTTTTCAGTTATGCGCACAGTTTGAGGTGTGGCTTTCTGCTCCTTCCAGAAGGGGAAGGGAAACAGGGACGGGAGCTACACCTGTTCAAATGTAAACTATACCCCTTCTCTCCTTGGTGACATCACGTTACGTACCCCTACTTTAAAGCTGCAATGGCAAATTTGAAAAACCAATTAGCTTAAAACATTTTTTCCATTCACTGATATTGTCGGCTAAAGTCGTCATTCTAAATCCAACTGCTTGCTGCCATTGACGACTAAAGTTTTTTAACAGGGCGGGCCTGGGAACAAGCTTGCACACCTTGAGAGTAAACATCACCGCTCTAAAGCTGATCTTCTCTCGTGTGTGTCACATGTCATGTGATCAGGAAGCAGACAATCCATGTATTAGGAGATCGTTTTAGGACATCGATTAGCCTAAAGCGAGACGCTAACCGGAAAAAGTTTCTGCAGCTCACACTTCAACAACGGATTGTGAAAGAACGTAAATGACTAGAAACATGCGGATCCTTCCTGATGTATAAAGTGAGTCTGCTCAGTCTTTTGGTAGATTTGGTGTTCACATGGTCATAGAGCACAATATTCTCTGTCTCTTCAGAAAACAGTATAAATGCTCAAAAACGCGGGCAGTCAGGGCTTTCTGTTCAGATAACAACTGGAAGTTAACAAGTTAACAACATAAATTTATATATAGCTATGAAATAAATTGTGGAGATAAGAAATAAATAATAATGAAGTGGTTCTCTCACATTTGTCTAAAAACCTCCACCAATAACACGGTTGGGACTGAAAGCAACTATTGAACCATCTGGTTGTCGGTGTTGCCGAAACGCCACATGTCCGTTGGTCCTCCATTCATTACGCAGTCGCATATTTTGCATCAGAACACCACAGGTGAGAGAGGTTCAGTAATATCAGCGAAGGAGAAACAGCCGGCTACCACTTCAACTTTAGGACAAACTACAAGAATCCCAAAAAAGAAAAACATGCACAACAAAAGATGTTTGAACGTGGAAAACGGTGTCTGGTGTTTAGCGCTATCTGGTTTCCTCTGGCAATACAAGTTTCTGGTTCTGGCAGGAGGGAATGTACCCGAGGGGAGGGGTGAGTGTTATGTGACCATGTTTGTGTTCAAAACCTAGCTTGTTCTGTAGATTTGCTATAGCAGCTTTAAGAAAACATTCTTTTCATAAGCTCTGGCCTATTTAGCCCTCTATTTCCCAGGGAGACCTAAATAATCAAAAGTCGCGTTCATCTAGTGAATTTATCAACATGTTTGATTCAACAAGCTCGATTTAAGGTAAAATATTGCACTGGAGACTTTTAGCAAGAATGGAAATTTCACAGTTCAATTCAATGTGGAAAACATTATTCCCATGTAAGAAAAACAATAACAGTTTAGCATCAGTCGTACCTTTCTGGGCGATGGTGCAGAACTCCTCCTGAAGTTTAATGTAGTCGCTGGCGTACTCCACGCTGTCAGTCAGACGGGAGGAGACTGGGGGCTGAAAGTCGGCCAGCTCGGCACATAGGTTGGGGTTGGATGAGTGGAGGCGGACCGGGGACATGCTGGCAGACAGAGGAACCTGGTGGAAGATCACAGCCTCTGTCAGTTAGGTAAGAGACACGAGAAAGCTGATGTTTTCTGTGTCTGACAACCAGAATCATCCTAACAGATGAGTAAACATGATCTTGAGGGAAAATCCCCCAAATCAGAGCTCTGATCTGTCATTCATCTGATGTGTGAGGGTTTTAGAAGGAGTGTCAGCAAACAGCAAGGATTTACATTCTTGTGCAAGACAATGACATGTTAGATCAAAGCCATAAAACACCAGCTGAGTGCAGATTTAAACAAAATAAATGAACAAAGAGGTCAGATGAGATATTTATGATTGTTTATGTGTCCTAATAAAAAACTAGAGGCAGTAAAATTAGATCTTACTGCCACTACTTCTCATAAATCACAACACTGGGTATGTGCACATCCACCGATTTATTCTTAAATAAAGGGATCTGTGGAAATGTTATGGAGACTGTCTACCCTGCTATTTGAGCAACCTCAGTTTGCAAAAAAAAGTTCACTTTTGATCAGATTGCGAAGCTAAAGGCTAATTCGAGCAGAGCTAAGCTATATGGATGTCTTAACCCTGACTTCACAACATTCTAGCACTTCTTGTTTATGCAGTTTTATAACCATTTACATCAGTTTTGCATTTTGAGATGTTTATTAACCTAAATTGTATTTATTTATTTTTTGCATGCATGTGCATGTAACACTAGCTAAGAATAATGTGGAGGTTTGAAAAGAATTGTTTGCATTGAGATGTTTGAGCTGTTAACTTGTCAGAATTAGTCCTCATAGGTGTGTTTAAAGGTTTAAACTATAGGAGTTACAGGAAATTCCTGGGAGGGGGGTAGGGTGATGGAAAAAACACAACGGATCAATCCTCTCAGCCATTGTTTCTCTATACAAAATCATCCTTTTCAGGACTCTGCTAAGATGTCAGCATATCACAACCGTTTTGGCAGTGAGTGACATCAGCACCAAAAGGCGCCCACATTAATTACATTAGAAATGTTTTATTTTGTCAAAGTGCACCATAACTGAACTCATCCAGGGGACGGGAAGAGTGGCTGTGTGGCGTAAACAGCTGTGTTCAGTTGTTGAGGGTTTAGACGGTTTTAAAAAGAACAGACGGTAAATGGCCTGTATCTGTATAGCACACCTTCTTAAGCTTGGTTTATGCTTGACGCGTCCGCGAGGTTCGCACGGCTCCGCGCGGCGAAATTTCGTCATTTTAACAACCACGCCCCTCCACCGCGCCTCCGCACGGCCCAAAAGTTCCGCACCGCGCACCTAGGAAATTTTCTAACCACGTGGACGGTCGGATGCGGAAAAACATGGCGGACTGGAAAGAACTAGTATGGCAGAGGTTCGTAAATACAGACATTTGAATGATTCAGCTCTCAAAGATCACCGTGATCAACATGTTGTTAATAATTCTTGGAGAGAAATAGCTCGCACTGTCGGAAAAGACGAGGACACTGTTAAAAATGCTGAAATGCCATGTTGTAAACAACAGTAATTTTTACTTCTACTATGGTGTAGAGTTGGACGCATGCTGTAGAGCTCCATGCTGCCCCCTACAGTTTGGGAGAATATTGGCTCACCGCAGAGACAAGCTGCATGAACCATAAACACTGCGAGTTGTGAAGCGCGTTCCAGCCGCGAGCCACATCACCAAGCGGAAAGTGAATGCGTCAAGCATAAACCAAGCTTTAGGGTTCTACAAACCCCCAAGGCGCGTCACAACACAATCATTCACCCATTCACACACACATTCATGGGGATGAGCTACGGTGTAGCCACAGCTGCTCTGGGGCTCAGTGACAGAGGCGAGGTCTGCCGAACACTGGCCCTCTGACCACCACCAGCAGGCAAGGTGGGTTAAAAGTCTTACCCAAGGACACAACAGCAGCATTCGGGATCGAACCTGCAACCTTCTGATTACTGGACAGCTCGCTCTACCTCCTGAGATACTGCTGTCCCAACAGAGTCGGAGTCAGATGTCTTTTCAAACAGCATGGAGCCTTTTATTACAGAATACCATTCTTTACCATTCTTACAGATGACCTCTCGACCTTTAAGGCCGCTCCATGTCCTCCCTGTGGTGACCACTATATGCTAGTCATCGGAAATGATTAAAACCCAGGCGAAATGTGTAGTGTATACTGATAAATGAATGCTAAACGGATAACAGAATAACTGAATAGGAGATAAAGACAGTATAACAGTACGACTGAAAATGGAAGCATTAGATAGAAATAGGTGGGTGTTGGAATAGGGTAGGGTGGGGGCCATCAACACACACACACACATATATATATATATATAAATATATATATATACATGTATATGTATGTATATATATATATATATATATATATATATATATATATATATACTATGTATATATATACTATGTATATATATATATATATATACATAGAATATATATATATACATAGTATATATACATGTATATATATATATATACATAGAATATATATATATATATATATACATAGTATATATATATACATGTACATATATATACATGTATATATACATAGTATATATATATATACGTATATATATATGTACATGTATATATATATACTATATATATATATATATATATATATATATATATATATATATATATATATATATATACATAGTATATATATATACATGTACATATATATACATGTATATATACATAGTATATATATATACTATGTGTACATATATATATATATATATATATATATATATATATATATATATATATATATACTTTTTTTTCAAAGGCCATATGTGACCTAGCCATTACAATAAAGCCTTTTTAACTTTTTCTAGTTGAGAGTGCATTGGAGTTCCTCTTGCTTTTTTATGCTACTGAGGTTGTTCAAATAAACCTTCTACAACAGGTAAACTATTAAACCTTTTCAAAAGACCCCTTTAACCTAAGCAAGGAATATGAATACAACTTTTACACAGGAGATGAATGTGTGTATGCGTGGGTAATGACTGTGTTGTAAAGAGCTTTGGGGGGGTTCTAGGACTCTAGAAGGTGCTATATCAAAAACAGGCCATTTACCATTCATCGTTGTTACAGGTTTAACTTAACTTTAAGCTCAGCGGCCTGAGTAATACTAAAGATGTGAACATATAGTCATTATCTGAGTCTTTTTGAGCTCTGAAAACAACAACCAGACCCTGACTGTGTACATGAGTGCTTGTGAACGGCTGGTGAGTTGTACCTGAAGCTGGAATTTTGCATCTTTACCGACGCTCTTTGTTCTCCATCTTCTGTTCAAGCGCTTTTCTTTCTTTGATAATTCTACACAATTGGCCTTTGAGGCACATGTGGATCAAAATAATGCAAAAGGGAGGTAAACAGGATAAACACGTTACAAAAAAATGCAACAATCAGCAATGAAATGACATAAAATGTGTTTTTTATCTTTTGAAGAAAGGTGCAAACAAAAATAGTGTGTAACTGAAGAGATGAATTTAAGACAACAACTATGACAGACCAATATTTAGTGATCAATTAGGAGCTTGGCAGCACCAGAGTGTGTTGCGATGGTCACAGTTGTTATATTTTGGCTTCCACGTGAAGAAATGAGAGGATACACACTGTGTGCATGACAAATGAGTCTCGGGAGAGTCTCATTTTTGGACTGCAGCAGCATGTTACCAATTTGGTGAAGTTTGTTCACAGTTAAACTAGACAAATGCAGCTCTCAGCAAAAACACCTACTGATCACAATATTGACGTCATACCAGTCACACTTGAAATGTCAATGAGAATTTCATTTTGTGCCTCTTTAGCTGTTCCCAAAAAGGCTGTGCAGGCAGTAGGTGCCCTGCAGCAGCTCCAACGGAGCAGCTAAGCGACCCACATGCTATGCAGATGGTGTAAAATTGGACAAACACAGACTAAAATGAGGGCAACTGCTGAGGCGTGCCACATTTCTGCATCTTTACCAGGTCTATCGTCTCTCCCTCCAAACTGTAGCTGAAACTCTGAAAAATGTCTTTCCTTGCATTCAGTCCCACATCTGTGTTGTGGAGTTTCTGCATATGCATGAAGTCTATGTGTGTGTGTGTGTGTGTATTGGCTTTACCTGCATATCTATGAAGTTAGGTGCTGACTGTGTCCTCTGAAGAATCTCTAGACTTTGCAATAACCGGCTTAGCTCCGTGAGGCTGGATTGACAGCGTGCAAGCTCTGAAAATAAAATTCACATCCACGGGCTCACAAACACATTACTTGTCACGAAATAGTCACAAATCCACTTCTGAGGGATTTACTGAAAGCCAGGAGGCTAGATTTAATTCACTCATTTTGTAAAATCAGATTTATTTCTGACATCATGGGGAGGGGGAAATGACTCACCCTCTGCACACTTGTCCATCTCCTCCGATTCCTGCAGCCAGGCCACCACCTTGCTCTGTCCATTACTGTAGGAGGCAGGAAGGCTGCTGCTGCTGCTGCTGCTGGGGGCCGCCGGCTGCCACGACAAGCCGCCCGTTTTGACCTGCGGTGGTGATAACAGAGTCAGAGCTGCCTCCATCATCTCAGAGTACTGCAGAAACCGCACACCTTTCAGGATCCATTCATGAGGCACTGGTGATTCGTCAATGACACTTTCATGCATGAGCAACCTTGAATCAGTGCAGAAACGATTTTTTTTAGCAATTATAACTACATAATTTATTGGCTTATGAATTATTTAATTGGCATAAAAGATGCATGCTTTTTTGTTTTATCAGACTGCTTTATCTAATTATTGCATGAGTTAAATATAACAATTCATGTTTATGTATCATCATCAGTGCAATGAGTTAATGATCAGCAAACTGTCATATTCTAAAGATTAAGATCTCATTTCAGTTCATATAGGCTGAATTTATTATTGCATGGTAAACACTGTTGCTTTGCAGCAATATGTTTGCTTGTTCAACTCCTAGTGTGTGAAATACAAGCTGGACAGAAAGACTGTGAGGATGAGTCTTTCCTGTCTCTTGCAGTCTGATGCAGCAAATAAATCTGACTTGACAACAGAAAAAATCTGCTGGGAGACTCCTTCAGGTTTGAACGTAAACACTACTGACCACCTGTAACGGCCTCCACGTGGCGTCAATCACAACTCCTAGGAGGAGCTGCATCCTGACATTTACACACACCTCAAACACACTGACAGGGACAGGCGCGTTGCAAGCTTTTCAAAAGTGTGGGGTATGTTGTCTGTGCCTAAAATAATTTCATGTTATTCATCTTGTTAGTTTAATTTCCATCAGCCACCATCAGCTTCAGCTCTGAGGAAGTTCGCAGCCGCGAACGAAACTGTCAGCAAGGTAAAAAAGAAACCTTTTCTGTGTTATAAAAAAGAACCAACAATGCAGTTAGAAAAGCAACACAGTATGAACATGCCAAAGAGGTAGCATGTTTGCTAATCCCCGAAAATTTCTCATGAAACGTTTGAAAGCTCAGATTTATGATTGAAGCGGTCCTGACATACTTCAGAGTGGGCCAAAGTGCTCATAACACACCACACAAGGTAGGATTATCTGAAGGGATTATCTTGAAAGTGTTACAAAATCATGCACAATCTTAAGATTGATTGAAGGGGTGAGTCTGATAAAAAAATATGATTATTCTGCCGTGTGAGCCACTCTTAAAGGTGTAGCTGATTGAAAAAACATTCTTTAATTATTATTTCCGATTATAATCGGTCACTCTGAGTTTTTCATGCAGGCTGAATATGAAAACAGTCTACTACACCTACCTCCTGCGTTAGATTATGATAGAAAATGGACTGTGAAATACTAGGATTCAAAAATCCTCACACTGTGATGTCACACTGTGAATTTGCATTTATTGCCTCACTCATCTTGGCTTGTGCACGCCCACAGGAGGCCTTTTTTTAAATGTTTACAGCGAGGAGAGAGAGCGAAAAGTGTCATGGTGATAGTGACTTTGCAACATGGCTGAACGTGTTCTGTTAGCCAATCAGAAGTGAGGTGTGTGCATATCAATAATAAAGAGTATGCTGTTTTCAGCCTACCTCTGCACCAGCTAACTTCTGCATCTCAGAACAGGAGCATCATTATTTTTTTCTTTTCTTTTAATGACTCATAAGGCATTGATTTACACTAGAGGACACTGCAAATGTACTGAATAAACAAGTAAACCACACCTTTAAGTCCACTAGAATGTTGTGCAAAATATTCTTTCTCAATGTATTTGAAAGAGTGGTTTCCTTTGTTAGTTATATATTTTTAAGAAAAAGAAAGAGAGCCTACCTTTGCCTCATTCACCACCGTCGGAGCAGGCTGAGGTGACTCCATGGCAGCCGAGGGAGGAAATGCTCGCATGGTGGCGTCTCGCGGGGATCGTACAATCTCGTTCTGCCGATACAGCCGGTGGTGACGCAGCTTCGACACCCAAGCATCAAAGATGTCTGGAGACTTGATCTGAACAGGAAGCAGCTAATGAGCTTTAACCCAAGTTGTCTGATTTCCGTTTGATTTGTCCTTAGCAGTTTGAATCTCACCTTCAGGTGATAGATGTGCTCCTCCGTGTCCAGGTCGATGCGGCGCGCCCTCTTTTTGATAGACATGACCGAGAGGCCGACGTCGATGCTGCCGTGAAGTTTCCCCTTTTGAATCTGAGGATAATGAAGATGTTCTTATAATCTGCTAAAAACATTCTGAACAAATGTAAAAAAAAAAAGGTGCTCCCACTCAAGCAGGATTCGCTGCGCGTGTCATGCGTTTCAACTTATTCAGACACGGTTCAGCGCTGGAGCAACACTGTGAGCCGTGCCGCAGATGTTTCAGCTGACTCACTGTCAAGTCCAGTAGAGGTCAGTCCTCTGTCTGCCTGCGGGTTGTGGTCAGGATTACTTACATCAATCGGGGACTTGGAGTACTTCAGGATACCGTTGTCCAGAATGAAGAAACGCTGCACAGAAAACAGTGTTGCTTGATCATCAAGGGTAAAATGGAAAGAGTTTCTGTTGGAATGTATTTGTCTAAAGAGCACAAAACTGCAGAAATTAAAAGTCTTAATAGAAATTAACAGAATACTTTGCGTCTTGTATTGTGGGTCCTACCTTGTGCCAGCCTTTCAGAGGCCATTTCCTCTTCTTCAACATAAAGCCCTCGTGTTTGTCAGGCCTCTGGACGTTGCTTTGTCCGATTTTCAATCCTTCAATTATTTCCCAGCTGTCCGCCTCCTAGAGGGGAAAGAGAAAACAGATAATCGTCATAGTAAAAGCAACAGGAACACGTGTAGCACGTCTTCTGACCCTTGCTACTACACATTTTTAAAAAAAACCACGGCTCCTTTCAATTTCCTGCTCCCTCAGCATTTCCACTTCATTAGCTTTCTCCTGACTAGGCTTTTCCAGCTCCTTGTGGGTTTGTAAATCAAAGCGATGCTTCTGGAGAGGGGGACCAGCGGAGTCGTGCAGGGACAGGTGAGGCATCCCACTGTCGTCCCAAGGTCACGGGCTTGATGGCAGAAATCTGTGGAGCAACAAAGCTTTTGTCCCATCTCTCAAAAGACGTGAAAGAAGCAGACTGAGAGACTAGAGCTATTAATTTATCAGAAAAATAATGTAATGTGATATTTCTAAAGTAGGTCAGACATGCACAAACTTATCCGGCAATAAAAAATAATAGCCTGTGATTCTTGTGATGCTCCAACCTTGAGGAGGTCTCTCTGGGCGTGCGTTATGACACCAACCCTCAGTTTGCAGGACGCTTAACAAACAGAAGACGACAGCTTGTTTAATCTAACACGCAGCCCAACAGATCGGAGGGGTAATGAGGCCACGTGTCTCCACCGAGGGCGGCCCCTCCGAAACAGGACGGTGAGAGCAGCTCGGCTTCATTAGCCAGACATAACACTGATACCACTCAGCTGTTACCGGCAAAAATAATAAATGCATCAGTGCTTCTGCATTTAGTAAACAACAGCTGCCTTATGCTGTAAGAACACCATCCCTGGCAGACAATAACAAACAGCATCCAGACGCTTCAGACAGACTTCCTGTCTGCTATCTGCAGGATTATTGACTTTAACCAAGTCCAAATGATAAATGATAAATGACCCGCACTTGTATAGCGCCTCTCAGAGCAAGGACTCCAAAGCGCTTTACACTACAGTGTATCATTCATCCATTCACACACTCATTCACACACTGATGGTGATGAGCTACGATGTAGCCACAGCTGCCCTGGGGCGCACTGACAGAGGCCAAACTGATAAATCAATTGAACGCTGAGGAGAAATGGCTGCCTTCCTTTTCTTTAAATCTTTAAAAAGAATTGAAGAGAGCCACCAACTCTACTGGCTTACAACAAGGAAATCTGTCTTTTAGTCCAGCCAGAGAACTGAACTGAATGAAGTCAAAGTGGTTTCCTGCACTCTGCTTACATTCATTGATCTCACTGCAGAATAATTTACAGCTGAATGAGCTGGTCGCTCTTGGCAAGTTTACCCTTTTCTTTTAATGAAGTGCCATGTGGCACATGAGCCGGCTTTTAACGTCAAAAATTCAAATAGTTCTGATCCAATCAGCCATTCAAATGAGTAAAACACGCCTAGACGAAAAAACACGACCTGTGATCTAGATGTGAGTTGGGCCTGTTTTGATGGGCCAGATCTTCAGGGATTCACCTTTCTGCAGCAACAACCGCTCCAGTTGGGACGGCAGACCTTTGATGTGATGAACATATTACAGTTAAAGTCTCCCTGAAAGGACAAACGCTCTTCAGGGACACCTTGGTATAACTCACCACTATAAATAACTTCTACAGCTTTCTTCTGATGCAGAAGAGTCTATCACCCTATCACGTGGTGCATGCATTTTCTTTTATATGCAGTCAAATAGCAACCCCCTTGCCAATACTCCTCACTGCAAAAGGAGGTGTGCCTTCAGAACTTCTCTCTAAAATTGACATTTTGGGAAAAAACAAAATGGCTGTGGCCTGGTGGGGGAAACTGCACATGAAGAATAGCTGAGCAAGAGGGGAACACTTTAAAGACTATCAAAGATGTCCCAAAAATCACAACAATCACCTTTAAAAGTCCTACATCATGCAAAATCCACTTTTTGGGTAGTTTTTGATCATGCTATATTGTTATTTCCTAATGAAAAACACCCAAAGCAGTTCTTGGCTTCATGCAGGCATTTTCCTGTCAGCTGCAAATCCTCTTCCCCTGGACTGTAATTACTAAAACCCAGTCTCTCCGTGTAGCTAGAAGGGAGTTTAATCTCCACAGTAGTGAAGAGGGGATTCCCTTCTTATCTAGTCTGCACTTTAAATAATGCCTAGAACCCAAATATGGATTTGGTCTGCAGAGGTTCCTGTGCAGTCTTCCCGAAGAATCAGCAGAAATAGTTAAGATTTCATCCTCAGGAGCTGTTGTAAACCGAACCAGACTGCTGGTAAAACCACCAGAGTGGGGTTTCAGATGTTCACACGTTAAAACCACCAAATGGATTGGCCAGGCCAGGCGAGTGCAACCAAAATGCTAACCGCTAGCTTAATGCTTATAAGGTTTAGTGGGTGAGCATCAGGGTTGGACCTAGATAATAATTCAGGCTGGCAATCTGCTACCATCTCAGCTGCATTTTTTCATTCGAGTGGTTGTGTGTGGAGGGTGTAAAATAGTGTGATACAGGCCCTTTAACACCTGATTTAAAAAGGCAATGATAGCCGGAGCAGCAGCGAGAACTTCATTTTGTCCTTAAAACATTTGAACTTAAAGCTGCTTTCCGGAGTTTTCCCCTTTCAGAAAAGATGCATGATTTCATATCTCATCATGTACTGTGATAAAATGTAAGCGATACGTCTTTTTTTTTTTTTTGCTAAGCACGCCCCCTGCCCCGCCGAGCTCTGTGCAATAGGAAACTGAGCGCCGACCAGAACTAGCAAATAGTGTTAGACTACCGCTTACATGCTTCAAATTTAAGGAGTACCTCGGCTGATGCAGAGTTGATGAACTGTTCACGGACAAGCACGTCTCTAAAATATAAATATATGAGAACACAGCATGACATGAGAATAATACTCGTAAAACAACGTGTTTTAGCTCTGTTTGTCGGCTACAGAAGCACATTTATAAACAGAAACGTGAAGTTGCCATCTTAGACAAACAGAGCAACAAAATTTTTGTGTGTAATGCTTGTCAGCCACTAGATGGTGCCATCGGATAAGACAAATACTCCGGAAAGAAGCTTAAATCTATTTATTGTTTTATATTTGAAACATAACAGTTTCTATTAGAATAACCAGCTCATAAGCTTGTAATGTTGGGAAAAAGCTGTTTTCTCAATAGACCAATAAGATAAATAAATATTCCTTAGTCAATATACTGGGTTGATGCATCCAAAATATTGTAAAATATATGATTTCTGAAAAATCACTCACTGTTCTGATAATCAGTTATTGTTAACGGAGGAAAAAGTTGGCAACAAATTAGGATTAGGTGGTTCTATTCTCCAGAGATTGATGGATTAATTAAGAAGCAGATCACCAAAAGAAGCTGTAGCCTTACAGAGAAGCTCAGCCCGATTTTCACCTCATCCACCACAGTCATCGCTGTAAGATGATATCTCAGCTGCTCCAAACCACAGACCTGTTGTCTTGAGGATGGCTAGGCTGGAAAGCATGGAGGGTGGTACTTACATGGATAGACCGCTAACAGCCTGAGAGATGGACGGACCTGTGTGAGCTGTGTAAATACACTTGATTTATATCTGACAGCTGCAGCATTATTATTTATTTATTATTTATTTATTTATTTTTAAACCCACAAGCAGTGTGAGTTACTGCAGGTGGTGACTTTGTTCCTGCAGTGGTGTTGAGAATGAACAGGATCTTCAGCAGAGGGAAAAGTGGCATGCGTTGGTTTAAAAACAGGGGTAGGATCCCGTTATGGCATGACAAAAACAGAATACAGCACTCTTTGTTTTTGCAAAAGTCAGTTGTCTGCAGATAACACGTAACGTATAGCTACATGCATGCATAGGGTTAACGATGACACATTTCCAGGCTGGAAAACTTTTACTTGTTTAGACTAAAAGTGATTATTTTTACAATAATTTCATGCAACTTCATCCATACGTTGGAGGAACTCGGGACAAAACACAAAAACGTGTCAATACCTTATACGATTTTTATGAATCCTTAATTAGTTCTGGGTCCACAGAGGTGTGTATAGTTTCATTATTCATGACTGGCAATTTTTCCCCCCGATGCAACAATGTGAGCATCAGTCCTGCAGCAACACTCAAGCCGAAGAATCTGCGCACATAGTCACGCTCACATAACTTAACAAGATTCAAGTTCTGTTCTGTCAGTGGGTCAAGATTGTGTTATTATTGAAAATCAACACAACGCAAATGTCAAAATTTGACCCAACCAGCAACTATTTTATCAGCTCTCAACACAAGATAGCTTTAGTTAGATAATTATGCATAAAAGGCTTAATCTGTGCTTTAATTAGTTTTGTTTGTTTTAGAGCTACCGGCTTGGCTGCTGCCTGGCTCCGTCAATTAGGCTACTACTGAAGAGGTAATTAGGAAAAAGGCACTTGGGAAGCAAAACGTCAATCCTTTTTATTTAAGGCAGCATTAAAGAAGGAAATGGAAAGCGGGCCGTCTACTCTCCTGCAGACGTGGGGTTAGAATCCCTCATAGCCTCACAGAGTGGGCCACGTGTTCAGTGGAGCACCGAGCCTCCGCCTGCTTCTCATGAAAGATTCATCAACCAGCGCCGACGGAAAAGCTATGATGTCAGAGATTCCAGTAGGGGTGTCTCGTTTCTGTTGGGCCACAGTGACACAGCAGCTTGGTGATGGGAATGGGGGGGTGCTTCAGGTGACTGCAGGGTTAGGTCGAAGCACCTGTGAAGTTCTCATTTAGCAATGAGGAAACTCAAGCTGCCCTTTCATTAGCAGCTTTTTATAAAAACAACTATCAGAAGTGGGAAATGGTCCTTGCAGACCAAACGTATCGAGCACCACCTCTCAAGCTGCAGCCCACCCTCTGGATCAGTTCCTCCCACAGCTAGAAGGATTACCTGCCGGCTGTCCCTCTGGGAGGAGGAAGAGGACGAGGCGCTCTTGTGAACCGGCGTGGACGTCTTGATCACAGGCGTGGAGCTCCTCTCCTCTGAACTCATTGTGCGGCCCTGAGGGCCTCGCTGGTATTGCTGATAGTGCGACATAATGGGCACCAGTCGACTCCGTGGACCGCCCTCGGCTGTGGGGCCCCTCACTCACTGCCTGCTGTTCATCTGAAACACAAAAATCAGGAAGTTACACCATCGAACAGCTTTCCTGCATAAAGACAGTCACAAATTAGCACCGGGGCCTCTCTGAGGCTTCCAGAAGGCTTCTTCCTCTATTTCACTATGCTAATCCGAATAACGGACACCGAGCTGAGACACAGCTATTCATTTAAGCATGGGCATTTACGATTCTCCTCATTATTTACTCAGTGTTTACCAGATCAGTGCCACTCACACACACTAGGTCTGAACCACACAGAATAACATTACAAATATAAACAAACCTAGAATTTTACAGCTGATTTTAGCAATTATTTTGTTACTTATATCTTTGGAAAAAAAGGTGTTTGCATTCCTGACAAAAATTCCCAAACTCTTGAGATGTTTGTTGCCCGTGTTGCGTAATCATTGCATTTAGTTGTTTGAATGAAACCAACAGGAATATCTTATAAATTTGAATCCAATTTCCAGGTAGTTTATTTGTTTCTGGATTTCTTGTTGGCGTTGTAATTTTGCTATTTTATTTATACTAAAGCTGTAGCATTAAAATCTAGCCACTCCATTGTAGCCTCAGCAGGTCTACTATTGGCCCGAACAATTTAGCGTCTTGCCAATCACAGCGCTCTACGCTTGTTGGGCGAGCTTGGCACGACAGCTGCGACGGAGAAAGCCAACAAAGATGGTGTCGGCTGCTCATTTGAAACACCTTTGGCATCAACTTTGTACTATTTAGACTTGGGCTTTCCTTGAAGACATGAGCAGTTAGAGGTACTTAAGTCCTTTATTTAAACAAAATATGTATTTGTTTCTTCTTTGACGATGACTCCCCCGTTGACGTGATGAAAATGGGGCATTGTTCATTGCTCCGATTGGTTTTAGCGCTGTCCAAACGCACGCGGAGACAGTTTGAATGGCAACTGCAGACTCCGCCCCACAACTGGCTGGATTCAATAGCTCGTGGCTAGCCTATATATTTACATAAGGCGTGCCAGGCCACTGTGCATTCTGTCATGCTTCACCGTAGAAGGATCAAGCAGGATTAAGTGACTCAGGGAGTTGGTTTAAAGGGTTTTCTGGGAAATTATGATGATTGAATAAAAGGATTTAGGGGTGAAGATTAACAAGATAATTGGAATTTTTAGATAGAAAAAAGAAAATCTAAATGTTTGTGCTCTGTTTGTCTTGCTATCTGTCTCTTGGAGTTATGTGAACAATGTTTTTATTGAATATTATTAATTTAATAAGAGAGAAGAGAACCTTCAGTGAAACATTTATTTATTTTCATTCATTTATACAGTGCTGCACATAATTGTTCGTACGCCTGACAAATTTTGACTTACTTTTATTCAACCAGCAAGTTATTGTTTGATGGGAAATGACACAGGTATCTCCCAAAAGATACTAAGACGATGAACAAGAGACATTATTGTGCCCAAGAGTTTTCTCAGCCCTTAATTACATTTGAGCAAAAGGTCACGTCCAAGATTATTTATACCTTCAAATTCAATTCAATTCAAAAATACTTTATTAATCCCAGAGGGAAATTGATACCTGTCAGTCTCTGGGAAAATCCCAAGTTCTAAACCATTCCAAATAGTCAGAGCTGTTCTAAAGCATCTTAACTACCCAGATTGATTAGGAACAGCTGTTTTAATCAACTCAACAGGTGAAAAACAGCTGACATGACACTTTTGCTCAAATGTAAATAAAAGCTGAGAAATGTTGTTTGGCACAATAACGCCTCCTGTATCGTTTTAAAAAAATAACTTGCTGGTTGAATGAAAGTAACTTTGTCAAAATTAGTCAGGGGTATGAATAATAAATGTGTGTATATATATATATATATATATATATATATATATATATATATATATATATATATATATATATATATATATATTTATATTTATTTATTTATTTTTAATTTTATTTCTCTGAAATTCCTTTTTAACTTTAGGTTTTTAAGAATGTCCGGAGGCACCCCTAGTCAATCTCGTCTTAATTTTGATTCTGTGAGGTTTAGTTTTATCGTCATAAATTAGGATGTTCTGTATCGGCTTTTTATTTGATTTTTTTTACTGATATCAGATGTATCGACACATAACTTTTCCAATATAAACCAATATCAATACATGAGGGGGTCCTCCTCATAAAAAAACAAGAAACTAAATCATTTTAGGTAGGTAGGTAACTAACATCACATGTCTGATGTTAAACATGATCTGTGCAAAATATGATAACTACTTCGATTTAAGACCGGTCCCAAACCAAAATATCTCAAAAACGGAACCTTGGATCTGTCATATTTTGAGCGAGAGGAGGCATAGCTGAAGAGTTTCATGTATAATATACGCATGATATTTAAAAGTTGTGTGGTTAAAAAAAAAACAGATAATTTCCAATATTACATTTTGATGAAAATATTGGACGATAATATCAAATATCCCTATAAAATGTCAAAAAGGGAACTAAAGCAATTTATTTCCTCACATACCCCTAATTTATTATTTTTAATCTTTAATTAGATTGAAAATAAGAAAATGACCACATTAACAAATAAATACAATTATTGCAACCTTTTAAACTCACACTTTCCCCAAAAAACTGTCATAAAGGAAACATTTATGCATCAGCTCAGCTAGCTAGAACGGAGTTAAAGTGATGAAATCACTGCAATTGAACTTGCCTGCTTAAACATTAGCTCAAATAGCAACAGGGAGCGCTCGTGTTTATCGTTAGTCACGACTCATGCTGGCATCCACAACAGCGCCAACAGTACTGCTGTGTAATAATTCAAACGGTATAGTTAATATCATTTATATTTATTAATTATTATATATATTTATTAGAAGATGTTGAAGACACGTTGTGGTAACTAGGGACAAAAGAGGCTTTGACCACATCAGCAGCCTGTGGTTTGAACTGCAGGATGTTTCAGTTGGGCGCTCCCATGTGTCATCCACACAGCAGACCTGCAGCAAGCGCACTCACATGCAGTATTCTCACACACTATAATCTATAATTTAGATCCTGTGGGGACGTCATCATCCTGCCCGGCCCTGTCTTAAGCCAACCAGGGTGTAAGCTACTGTAACTCCACACATAGTGGACTCCACTGGCCTACTTTAGGAGTGCCACTCTGCCTGACCTACAGGCAAACATAAAACAGTATAATTATTATTAAAATCCAACACTAAAGCTTGAAAAGGCCTGTAAAGATATGTAGCTTTCAAAAATCCAATGTTTTCCCCTGACTGTGAATGCATCACAGCTAAGTGGTCATTTGTACCAGCATTAACCTTCATGCATAGCTTTGTACTGAGTTAAGACTCATGCTACTGCTCAGTTACATCTAGGCTGTGCTTTTCTATTCAATTCCAGATTGTTTCAGATGCAGCACAACAAATATAAAGATTCAAAAGCTCAAGCAATAACTTGATGTGCACAAAACAAATAAATAATTGATTTTAACTATTTTAACATCCTCTTGGAAATGTAGAATAATAAAAAAATAAATAAATATTGCGTCTTCATGGTGCACCTTCGTGTTTAAAATAGAAAAAAATAAACAATAGAGAAATAAATATTTTTATTTTTTCTAATTTTTATTTCAAAACACCTGGACGAAATAATCTTTTTGTATTTTAATTTTAAAAGGAATGAAATTTTAAATATTTTTACTATAAACATTTATTCAGGATAAATACAACCAAATATCAAAAAGTTAAAATATTAAAGTGACGATGTGTAATTTCCCTGGCGACAAGGGCAGTACGTACATAAACACTGCAAGCAAGCGGTAAGTTTGTGTTCGAGTAACAACCTAAAGATGGCCATTAGGGTAAAAAATCCCTGGGAGTGCAACCTCCAGCTAACTGACAAGCACATCACCCTCCCTTTCATCAGTGGCAACGAGCAAAGAGGTAAACGTGTAAAACAACAACGTTTATGGCAAAAGTTTTATAACCATTTGTTACAAATCAGTAAAAGCATTTTGTCCTCATGGGTTCCCGTAGAAGGAAATATGGAATCTAATACATCGTCGCCCAGAAACTTAGACCAGTTCACATTTATTTTAGACCCGATTTTTATGGTTGTATGTTACGAAGCCGCCAACATTTTCCAACAACTTGGCATCATTTAATTCCTTCTCAACAACAACTCAATAGATATTTCCAGAGATTAACGGTAAAAACTACATATTGTCTCTTTAAGACACGTTTGTTTTGACTGCTGATTTTTTTTTACAACTCGTGGAAACTTTTTAATTGACCCAAACTGGAATCAACTGGTCATATATTTATAAAAATCAGAAAAGGCAAAGAAAAGAACTAACAGTTTCTATTTGGGATGCACCGATACCACTTTTTTCAAAAACCGATACGATACAGATACTTGGATCTGAGTACTCGCCGATACCGATTACTGATACTTCTACCACACAAAAACTGCAATGAATTAGAATACAGGTTTTATTTTCTTCTCTGGTTTCAACTGGAAAAGACTGTGAGGTAGATAAAAAATAAAATATATTAAAAGAAATGATCACAAAAGAAAAATATTAGGTGAACAGAAACAACAAGTTACAGTGAAGCCACGTTCAGTCAACTGCATTGGTATCAGTTAACTTTATTCCAGTATCGGTATCAGTGCATCCCTAATTTCAATTTTTTAAGTAAATTATAAACAAGAGCTCTTCTGAAAACAAACCAAAATATAATGAGGGTAATTATTTTACTCCTCCCTTAGCCTCAAACAGCT